CATGTATTATTCTAATTAAATGCGGGTGAGACATCGGGATGAAGCTGGTTATAAATAAAACAAAACTTGGTATGCTGTTTGTTGCACTTTCTTTTCAGGTTCGTACAAAATATATGCGTGCACTAGTTAATGTCATCTTGATTGACGGAGGGCTCATTTCATCAAAAAAATGTATATAAATATTTTAATATAATAAAAAATATACAAGGATAAGTAGAGGAAAATTTCGATAGGAGTTTTTCATGACCTGGGATTTATTCTTCTAAAAATAATTGCCTAGATATATATTTTATTTATACAAATAATAACATTTAAAATAACGATTTGAAAAATATTTTTTATGTAAAGTGGTTATATAATTGTGTTTTTTTCCAGATTTCTGTCATAGGATTGACCCACATTTATCAGTGATAAACATAATGTTTCTAGCTCTAATATTTACGTTTACATAAAAATATTTAAAGCAATCAGTAGATTTCTTTATTTTAAACGTCAATTTTAGTACTAGAAACATTATTTTTGTCACTGATAAATGTGTATCAATTCCTATGACAGAAATCTGAGAGAAAATCACAATTACATAACCACTTTACATTAAAAAAAATTAAAAATCAATATTTTAAATTGCATATTTCTAGAAATAAAATATGTATTTAGGCAATTATTTGTATTATAATACACCCCAGATGTATGTACTACAGTTAATTGTAGTAATTTCTGCTGAAAACACGGGTACTTTTAGGAGACTGGATAGAAAATCACATCATTGCTTTACAAAACTTGAGATGAATCTCAAGTTTTTGTCTAATAAACCTTATTACACGTGGTAGTCTGCCATAAAGTGCAGCAATTGTAGTTTAGTTTGATGATGATAATAAAAATCGCGAATAATTTATGATTTTTTTAAAAACAGAACTTTACTTACAATTAGTTTAGCCGCTCAAATGATCTCTTCAAATAATGACAAACTCTCTTTTCAATTAAAGAAAATTTTGTCTGGTTTACAACGGAGTAATTGTTAATTACTTCAATTAAATGTTTCTATAGTAATCGCTTCCTACTCAACAAAAAACATGACTCTCTTAAAAAAACACAAAATTTGGATCTCCTACTTTTCTGCTGAAAATTAGCCCATTGTTTATATAAACTTTTTTGTAGGTCGCAAGGTCTGTTATCACTCCTATCAAAATTTCCCTTTACTTACTAGACACCCAGTCTATAATTTAATAAATTATTATATCTAATCATAAATAGATTATAATATAATAATTTTTAAAAATCTCACAATAAGATATAAAGAAGGTCGTTTATCATTAATCAAGTAACATATTACTTTTTATACCCAATAACAAAATAGTTTACTAGCCATTGGCCTTGGATATTCTCTTATGCCTATCTTCGTCGTGCATTTCGGATAAGAGTCGATAATATAGATGATGATGTTTGTAATTTCGAATGAACAAGTGATTGCATTCGACATTTTTACGTTAATTACGTCACTGATTACTAAAAATTTTGATTGATTAATTAAATATACATCCGGGTTGATATTTCCAGATAATTATGGTCGTTGAAGGCATGATGTCAGGAGTTCAGAATACTCGCTAAGAGATATGAAATTATACAATTTTTATAATCTTATTTTTCACATTCGTATTGCGATTTCATGTTAAATATTACGCTATATATGAAATTTTTGATACCTTCAGTCTTCAGTTCTATTGACATTCAATATAAATGAAAATATGAATCGAAAATCTTTATTTGTTTGCCAATTCTGAGCTTTCTCATTTTTACTTATATTCCGATCTAAAATAGAAAGAAAGTTTGGTAATAGTAGGTTTAGCTTTCTTTATGAAATGTTTTTAGTTTGGTTTGGCATTTCTCAACCTTTCAACTGAAAAATTACTTTCTTTTTCCTGTACAATGAATTTCTACAACATGGGTCTACTAGTGAGTGTTAAATCCAGGGCGTATTACCTTTTCTTTTTCTGAATCGACCCGAGTATCGTAATTTTAGAAATACACACACGATATAAAACTTATATTTAAAAAAAATTGTGAATTTCTTAGGTTAATTGATAGACGGTTTTACCCCAGTGATGACGTATTTGTCAAATGGGGCATCCCCATATATGGCAAGTCGTTTGAAAAACAAGGCTTAAACAAAATTTAGTTTTAAAAAATGGTCACCATTCAGAAATGTTAATTTAGGAATTAATATTTTAATTTTTTAACACATAACTATTTCCTCTTCTAGGGATTAGAATTTCTAATCCATTTTATCGAATAAAAGTCATTCCTACAATGATTTTTTGTTTGTTATTTGTGTCAATACGTTATTAATAAGTGAACCAAAGAAAAACTATTTCGGTGAATCTTGTCTCTGGCTGAATCTTGTCGGAAAAAAACAAAACAGAAAAACCTGGAATCCATTATATTCAATTTTCATTTTCATTAAAAAAAAACAGCAGTATTTTGCAAACTTCTTACGATTTAATTACGAAAGTTAGCTTATATTGAATAACGACTAATAACGGTTCTAATCAACAACGATAATTTATATATACAGTTCTGTGAAAAAATATAAACTCAACTTAGAAAATTAATGTATTTATGAAATTTAAAATCAAATTCTCCTGCTTTCTCCATCCTCACAATGTGGATCGAAAAGAAAATGGCTGAACAATGGAAGAGAAGCATCCACTTCATAAAAAAGGTAACATTCTGCAATACTCCATCTACCGGGGTGTTTCACTTCTACAATGCGCCTGCAAGGTCCTCTTTAATGTAATTCATAGGAAACTTTTTCCATTTGCAGAGAGAGAAGTTGAAAAATATCAAGCAGGTTTCAGAGGTGGGAGACCTACAGTTGATCAAATGTTTAGTCTCCAGATCACTAGCGGATCCAGGATTTAATTTTGGTGGGGGCTTCAGCCCGAAAGCTTTTTTTTTCATAAAAATAACGATAATTACTTTGGAAAAAAGAAAGAAACTAACTACCTGTATGAAATGGTGTTTAAGTGATTCCTAAAGCCCTTTTTATATTAATCACACGAACAATAACACTTTAAGAGATACTTTTTTAATATTTTGTTTGATAAAACATGGTTATATTTTTCCATTTTGGGGGGGGGGGCTTCAGCCCGAAAGCCTCCCCCCCCGTAGATCCGCCCGTGCTCCAGATGATACTAGAGAAGTCCCAGGACTATCGGATGTCAACTTGCCACCTCTTTGTTGATTTCCGGAGAGCCTATGATAGCATTAAAAGGCCAACGTTGTACGCAGCTTTGAGAGAACTTGGAGTCTCTTTGAAGTTAATTTGCCTGATCAGAATGACAATGGATGGTACAAACTTGTACAGTGAGGATTCAGTCGGATCTATCTCCACAGATTGTATCTTCCAGATGTGTTAGACAAGGCAATAGCCTCGCCTGCCTATTGTTCAATCTAGTCTTGGAGAAAGTTCTACATGATTCTGATATACAGATCTCTAACACCATTTTCAACCGGCTCGTTCAGGTTCTCGGCTTCGCTGATGACTTTGATACAGTCGCAAGATCTTTTGAGTCGTTTTCTCAAGTTGATATGGGAATGTGCGTAAACTAGGAGAAGACAAAATATATGACAGGTGGGCCAGGAGTGGACCGACAGCCCGTGGCGGTGGGCCAATTCATATTCCAGAACGTCGACTAGTTTGTGTAGAGTCAATGATGAGTTGTAGAAACAGGATTTTCATAGAAACCCGTCAGCGATTTATTAAAGCCAATAGGTGCTATTTTGTTCTCAGAAAGTACCTGAGAAATTCTTACCTCTTCGGCCGCACTAAGTAGCTCTTATATTAAACTCTTATAAAACCTGTCCTAACATATGGATCAGAGACGTAGACCCACACAAGTAATGAGGAATGAGAAATTCTTATATCTGAAAAAAAAATTTTCCGCTGAATATTTGGACCGGTAAGGATTGGAGAATACTGGAGACGAAGGATAAACAGGGAAATTTACCGACTTTATTATGAGACTTAAATAATTAAGTTTTGCCGTTTATTACAATGTTGGAAGAAGAACAAATCATTTTTCAGCAGGATAACACTATTCATACAGCACACTACACTACAATGGTTTCAGGGTTTCGGGATTAATATTTGAATAGGACAGCTCTTGATCCGGATCTCAATCCGATTGAAAATTTTTGGGGAATCATTGCTAGAGAATTCTCCGATCTTCAGAAGCCAGAAATACCAAATATTGATGATCTCAAAGAAAGGATAACACATGGTTAGGAAAACATCCCAGAAAGCACTATAATTAATTGAGTAAGAAGTGTTTCCAAAAGACTGTTGGAGGTGATAAAAACATAGCAGAATTTCTCATTATTGAAATGAATTTACTCATAAAAAAAAACGGAAAACTTTTGAGTTTACCCTTTTTCACAGATTTGTTTTGTTATTTTGTCCCAATTGTAGCTAATCCTAGCAATATGATTAAATTGTTTATTAAAAATGTAACTAATCATTTACAGTATACACTAAATAATATCTTTTGTTACTCAGATTCCAAAATAAATTATTTATACTAATTTAAATAGTTTTTTCCTTGCGTGTGTTTTTTTCACACTACTGGGACTGGGATACTACTGGAACTAGGATACGAGTGCGAATTGGATACCACTGGGCCTTGGATCATACTGGGGCTGGGTACCATCGTCACTATGTACTTTAATTGAACAATTTCCAAAAGTTATATAAACCTGTAAATCATAAGATACTTAAGTTCTACAAGAGTAGCATAATACAATTAAATATTGTTTTAACAAACACATTAACATTTTTTAAAATCTACTCAAAATTTTAAATACTAAAAAAATGCAGCAAGTATTTACATGCTCTAAAGCTATTTTATCAAATGTCTTTTAGTATTTATTAAATTTGTGTTTTTATTAAATTAAGTGCTATTAACCTTTATAATAAATATTTATTTACTTAATTTTAATTTCAGATATAATGATACTGGTTCCTGCATTAATTACTCTAGCTACAATTCACTGTATAACAGCAGAAAGTCGTTCAAAAAGACAAGGTAGATCTTCTTTATCAATTTGATGTAATGCAAGTGAACTTATCTATTTTGTTTTATTTATTAAATTTTTTTTAGTAAACCATACAACCTGCCACATTGAAGGGCAATAAGCATTTAGGCTACAGGTGTTTATTTATACTATATATACATATAACACGAAAATAAATATGAATAATTTAAAAAATAAGAATTAAAAATAAAATATTTGATGCATAAATTGAAATAAGAAATAAATAAATAAGTAAAAATAGAGTAAAGTTTCTTAAACACATTCATACCTAGGTACAAAATTTACATGGGCCCAGGAAACTCCGAAACAAGTTTCCAGGAGATTTCACTGCTTCTCTTCCATCTGCGACACTGCTCTTGGAAGCGAGTGGAGACTGAAACAGGGCACTAGAGTCACAGAGGCTCTGAACTTAAGTTGAGAAGCTGGACATTGCCAGGACTCCAAAAGCACATTTACTAGAGATTTCGTGGCCACTGCCGTTTTAAGGTTCGAGGAGGATTGTCCTTACAATTGGATGTGGATTGAGTTAAAAGCATAAGATTCCGGTGAAAGTTGGATGGAATAACATGTTGTAAGGTTTGGTTTGTGACATAATATGGAGCATTGATTGGGAGGTCGTCTCCGAAAGCCCCGAATAACGTTATTTTATCGTTTTCGTTTTTTTGTATTTATGTATTAATAGTACCTATACGCCAGTAACCTTGCCATGTAAAGGGGGGTCTAATTTACATCGAATGATGGTAGAAGATTTCTTTTTTATTTCTTGTATGGGATGTGACTGAGATGTAAAATCCAAGTTTTCGACCTCTGCGCCCTCTCCCCGCCCCTCTACCGGATCACTTTTGAAAATTCCCAAAACTATATTTTCGCACTTTTTTCGGTTATCTCCCATTTTGACCATTAAGGAGTACGTTTTCTACAAAAAACATTTCATACATTTTTAAACTAGATTAAATATAACGCCTGTATCCCATCCCAGATTCTAAACACATAATCCCAGACCGCCAATTTGGATTCCGTACATCTCACTCCACTATGCAGCAATGTCATGATGTGGTAGATGTAGTTTCCTCTGCATTGGAGCGCGGAATGTATTGCACGGGAGCCTTTCTCGACGTCGACCAGGCGTTTGATAAAGTCACTCGGGACTGAAGTACAAACTCCGTCGTAATTCTTATCACCTACATACTTCCTCATTATCCGTTCCTGCCTTAGTGATAGATACTTCAAAGTAAATCACAAGGATGCCCTATTCATATCTTTTTTCTCAGTTTGCTGGTGTTCCTCAAGGTAGTATCCTAGGTCCTATCCTTTACAGAGTTTATACAGCTGGCATTCTAACCCATCCCAAAACTTAGATAAATCGGACTCTCATTCCAACACGGTCATCACCACCTATGCCGATGACACGTGTATCCTATCAGTTAACAACGATTCATCAATTGCATCTCAAACTCTCCTATCACACATCACAAGTCTTGAAGAATGGTGTCAAAACTGGAGCATTAAAATAAATCTCATCGAATTATCTTTATCCTTCATCCTTCGTCATAAACCTAAGATTTCCTGTCCTACAGTTTCCTTTAACAATACCCCAATTATCCCTGTTAAACAAATCTGATACCGAGGTCTCCACTTGGATAAACAACTCACTTGGAATCGTCATACCAGACTGAAACGAATTGAAACCGCCCGACGTTTTCGACTTCTGCAGCGCATACTAGACAAGCACTCTGAACTTCCAATTATTTACAAAATATATATTACTATAATAAAGCCTATTTGGACTTACAGAATCGAGCATTGGGGCTCTACTAAACCATCGAATTCCTCTCGTATTCAATCCTTACAATCCAAAATTTTTGATTTAGCCCAATCCAGATACCTATCCTTCCATAATAAACTTCTGAACCATCCGAACCCCCTTGTTTCAAACCTTACTTCCTCTTCTATTCCTCTTAACCTTCCGAGGCGTCTGAAAAGAAGATTGAAAGAAGAAGACTTTCTAATATAGAACTTTAATTTGATTTATCCCAATGAGTAGTTTCTTTTCATGTTGTACATGTCAAGTTAGCAATTTCACATTTACTTGTTGTATTTTTCATGTAATACAATTGTAAATTTCGTTAAAATAAAAATTTTAAAAAAAGATTAAATATGCTGCAATTTAAACACTTTAAAAAGAGGAATCATAGTAAATCAAAGAGTACACAAGATACGGGTTTTCAATGTTTTGGAAATTTTTCGAATTTAAAATTTTAAGCTATTTTTCATGTTTGACCATAAGCAATAGTCTTTATATCTACAATAAACTCTCTTATATGATTCAGTGAAATCCTATTTTTATTTATGTGAATCTAATATTATAAGCTAATTGATAAAATAAGTGCGCTAGAATGATCTGACTCGTTTATTGCGTTTGATCTTCTTTCTAGTAAACCAACGGACAAAAAATGAAGGACTTACCCCACCTTTCAAAACTCTCCTCCACATAAAATTTTAATTTCAGAGAGCAGTGTTAGATATTGGGAAAAAGCATTGGAAAAGATATAAATAAAAAATATATAAAAAAGTGAAGAAAAAAAAACACTAGAAAAAAAAATTCTGCGATCACTATTAAGAAGGTCCAAAATCTTTGAAAATATAACAAGTAACTGATGGAAACATTATGTTATAGTAAGAACACGTATCGATTAATCAATCCTCTTCGGTTAATTCCCTTCTGTTTGCCAAAAATGTCCTAAATTACCTCACGACCAAAAACTGTTGCTTACTAAATGGTTTAAGCACGTTAAAATGCGTATACGTATTCAAAATTAATGTAGAACTTTGAGCAAAATGTACTTAAGCTATCTTTTTAATCCTAAAGAGATAATTTAATATGGCCAGCTATATGACTACTGATCAAAAAATCTAAACTTTCTATTGAAAACAAATTACTAATTTACAAGACAATAATAAAAACCATCTTTTTTTTTTTTTTTTTTTTTTGTCCTTCCCTTCCTCGCCGTTAAGGCTATAAGGGATTTTCCCGGGCCAAGGGGTGTGGGCGGGGATTTAAAAGACTCCCCCGACACCGTGATGCGAACTCGTGACTATTTTTATATCTTTAATTCATATATCTGGTTGCCGGGCAACGGCGGTGCAGTGCACACGCTTTAGCCCATTCGGCCACCCCACCCACTAATAAAACCCATCTGGACCTGAGGAGTTAAACTGCGGGAGACTGCTAAATTTTCTAACATCCTTCCAGTCAAAAGACCTCCGAACAATAGTCGATGCTCCCTTCTTTGTAACCAATAAAACCCTGCATAATGGCCATAATATTTCATTTATTTTTTATCTTATCCCAGAAAAATTTTTCATATTTCACCAAAACCTTACTTATCAACCAAATCCCGTAGCACAATTCCTATCCAGCACCGCCCATCCGTACAATCCTCCTCGCAGGTTAAAACGGCAGTAGCCTTCAGACATTATGTAAATATGTATGTATTGTAGTTCTAGCAATGCCCAGATTCTCTACTCTTCATAACCGTCTGTGGCTGTTGCGCTCTTACTCAGCTTCCGCTGGTTTTTAATACCATTGGAGTGGTTGAGAGAGAAGCGCAGGGATCTCCTAAGCCTCGCTTTTTCCTCCACAAGTTTGGTTAGGAGTTCCCCTAGCAGATTGTAAATAGTGTATTATAAGTATATTTGTGTCTAAGTTGTTTATTATTAAAGTATAATTTTATTTTAACGTATATATATTTGTTTCTCTCTCCTTATAATATTTTATTTTGTTTTTATTTCTATGCATTATTTTTTTGTTAGTCATTGATGGATGTCAGTAGTCTGCACTACATATCACATTTATCTCCTGTATTTTCCTATTAATTTATTACTTACTTTATCTATTTAAATTTCTGTCAATATGGTATGTGCTATCTGAACTCTGAACTGGGTCATAAGTACCCTTAACTGTGACAGATTGTAATATTTCTCAATAAACAAGTTTTTAAAAAATCCCAAGATGTGATTGATGATGAGGATGCAATTGACAAGGGATTACACTAATTATGTTTTTGTAACTGAGAAATATTTATTGTTTCCATCATCAGAAAATTATACTGTAATTTGTAGATGATCCTATCAGGCAGTGCATATGTATTGTATATTTGAGCGAATGTCTAGAATAACATAAAATATAAACTATCTATTTATAGTTAACATTATTTGATGTTATTCTTGACAACCGCCTAAAAGACCTCTTCGCTTATCCTTACCATCATCCATTCTTATATAATAATTATAACTTATAGTAGTGAATTCAGAAACTTCCCCCGACAAATAGATTCCTATACTTCAGTTAATACTTGCTTGGCTCCGAACAGTTGTTACAAGTTTCTGTAATAAAGACTTTTAGCTTTTTTCGTTTTAAGCTTTTTAGAAAAATGTAAATGTTTAGCTCAATATTCTGCCTTCTATTAATAGCTCTTATGATATCCATGTATATTTATAGCATTACAGTACATATTACAACTGTTAACTATATACAAATATTGAGGAAATTTTCATTACAATCGAAAAACAAATGCATTGTACTTTACTTATAACGGCTTTAAATCTATAAACGTAGGTAGATCTCATAAGAGCTATTGATAGAAGGCAGAATATTGAGTAAAAAAATTAGACTTGGAGATAAAAAACTAAAAACATTTGGGTTTTTTTATCTATTTATTCCTTATAAAGGCGTGAAGTCTGAATGATATTAAAATATGGTTTTGAAGAGCAATAATTTAGCTTCCCAACGGTTGTAATAACGTTGACTTGGAGAAATTCTTAAGAAATTATAAATATTTTTATAGGGCGGTCCCTCCACGCCCAGTGGTATAATAAAAGGCCTCTGGCCACAGATGCAAAGAACGCATACAGCGTGCAGAGCCCTCTTAACTTAAAATGCCCTTGGGCAATAAAAGGAAAGTTGAAAATTTATGTATATATACATTTATATACACACTGAATTTATTCAAGAAATTCCTGGGGGGTAGGAAAAAAAAAAAAAAAAAAAAAAAAAAAAAAAAAAAAAAAAAAAAAATTTATATGAATATTAAGTCCAAAAATTTATATTTTTTTATTTCAAAATAAACTCGTATTTAAGAGTTTTAGTGGACGCTAAAAACGAATGTGAATCGTTTTTTCATGAAACAATTTACTCGGCCTAATTTACTCAAAGAGTCTTCGGCTTTTGTAACTTGTTATAGATAAGAATTCGTTTAATAGTAGTAGCAATAGTGTTTTCTTATTTTACAGACAAAAAAAACTAATAGATTGATATGTAATAAATTAGAAATCCATGCAGGGTAAAGTCAGAAAACATTAATATAAAAAAAGAATAAAATTTTATATATTTTTTATAATGAATCTGTGACCCTACGTCCTTTACTCCATCTCTTGTCATTAACTCCACAAATGAATAAAAATAATTCAGTAAATGAATAAAATTCTGGAAGAATGGATTCTATTAAACAAGGATGAATAGAATAGGTAGACGTTAAAACAATCTCATTTTTGCCATGAACCGATTTATTTAGAATATCCATTATCTATAAAAATTCTTAAATTCATTAGGTTAAATAATTAAATATAATCAGTGATATAAAGTTAAATTATTCATGTCTAATTCAGATGTAGTCTGCACAACACCCAATGGTGAACAAGGAAATTGTATCCATGTCAGAAGTTGTTCTGCTCTTTTATCTTTATTGAAGAAAGCTCCTGAAAATCCAGAATATGCCAGTTTCTTGAGAAAGTAAGTAGTATTTTCATATTTCAAACAAACTGAATTGCATTGTCAGACTTTATTTTTAATTTAAATCCTATATTTAATGTTTGCCATACAAATTTGAAAAAAAATTTTAATATCTTTTGATATTGGTGTTTCCTAATTTGAAATAAGTTATCAATGATGCATTGATAAAGAAGCCAAGTGTAAAGAGTTTTAAGTTTTTTTAGTTTTTTTAATATGTGTTATTATCTCAAATGTAATTGCAAAAGAAAGACATATAGATCTGTAGGAATTCTCTTTAATAAAAAAAGTTTTGTTTATGTGTTTCATTGATCTCTGCTAATTTAATATATATCGCAGGATTTAAACATTGTCAATAAAATAATCATATTCAATCGAATTTTTTTATTTATTTATGGTAATTTATTATTTATTTATTATTGCTATTGTGGGCCGCCGTATAATCAGTTAAAACAGTTAAATAGCCTTTCCTAATGTGTCTACACAATTAGGATTAATCAATAACAACCAAAATGGAAATACCTTGAGATAGGCGATAGTCGACAGTTCTATCGATGTATCGATTAAGTCGAAGACTATCGATAGTCCTAGTGATAGTAAATAGTTGATCTTCCTTTAGAGACAAATCGTTTTCAAATTTTATATTTAAAGTAATAATTTTAATAACATGTCTTCATAATTCTACCTACTTATTGATGCACAAGATATAGTGATAATTAAAGCCCGAATATATATGCAGTACAAATCCACAGAATATGCTATATTTTATGCAGTAAAAAAACAGTAATAATACAGTAACTAATCTCTAAATATGTTAAACTTACTAATTACTTGATAACTAATTTGTTAGTAATGTATTTAAATATACTGATTCGCCTACGAAAAGTTTTAAAATAAAAAAAAATTATGGAGGGATTAAATATTACAGAATTACAGCGAATTAAATGGCCTTGTAAAATTGTTGGACATAATAACGAAAGAATTCCTAAAAGGTTAATATTCGCTATGTCGACTGGTAAACGTACGAGGGGTAGACAAGGCAAGAAGGAAGACAAGGATACTGATCCTTGTTTTCTTTTCCGAAATTTTGGCACTTCCTTTGTCGCTCGCTTGATGTATTTTTTCAATGTTTGGGTTCAATTTCGCGTTTTCCCTCATTTTGAGACCGAATACTAACAATCAGTTCCAGTTATCTAGAAGAACTTATAGCTTCGCCCTTTCCATATTTCTTTTGTGCCGAGAGAATAATGCATTTAATATTAAAATTTCGTATTTTTTGTGATATGGTCCAACTTCCGAAAAAAATAAAGGAAATAAAAATAATTTTTTTAATAGCGATATATGAGTTTTACTAAACAATCCATCACCTATTCATTAAAAGTAGTTCAGATTAGGTATATATTATTTTAGTTTATAAAACAGATATTAATATAACTCATTTCCGGGGAAGTATATACAATTTAAATTACCTCTAAGAATCAGTAAATATATAAAACAAAATGTTAAATTGCAAATATTAAATAAAAAATTCAAGATATTCTGCAAAGTATTTTTGAATTAAGTTTTATTATTATAATTATCTAATTTTTATAATAGAGGCCTTCTTAAGCGACCTCCGTATAGAATAAAGGAAGTTAAATTTCAAAAAAAAAATAAAAAAAATAATAACAAATTAAAAAAAAAATTTTTTTTGACAATTAAATTATTGTATTAATATTTGTTCGTTAATACAATCAATATAATATAACAAAAACGTTACTATAGCACTATAACTAAGCCATTTATGAGTACTGAGTGGTGTGGTAGAGGCCTGAAGGCACCTACGCCAGTAGCGCTTTTCTGCCGCTTAAGTACATTTTCTACGGAACTACTTCAAATATTTTAAAAAGTAATCAGTGTTTTAGAAAGAAAAATGTATTCTCCAGATGTTTTACTTCAGCACGTTTTGCATTATTGTTGACCGTTTAATTACTAACTAAAGTCAAAGTCGTCAATCCGCCATGTTTGGACGCCATTTTGGGGCAGTTCGTTCACTTTTTTTGTGGGAACATTGGCTTTTTTTTAATAAATAGTTACAAGGAACACAACGATATGCAATTTATAGGGACGTGGGGAGTGCACGGTAAGGGGGTCTGGCCCACCGTGTATTAAGGACGATCTGAAGGGACTGGGTTTGGAAGTGTGTAGAAACCCACTGGTGAAATGAAATGAAAATGAAAATATTTTTTTATCATCCTGGGACTGTTGTCCCCTTAGGACAAATTACAGATACAGAATAAATTATTATTATTATTATTATTATTAAGATTAAGATTTTGTAAAAAGAATAAAACGAAAAATAGAACTATTACACTAAAAACATTCTGATATGTATAATACAAACGTGGGAAAATAAAATAGCATAAGTAAAGAAAATCATTTCTGGGGAACTTTAAAAGTTCTCTTATCTACATTTCATGATCAATCGGGTTGGGAAAGGAGTAGGTGGTTAAAAAGGAGAGATTTAAATGAGGAAACTGATTGTACATGTCGGATATCGGGAGGGATGGTATTCCAGAAGGAGACGGCTTGAATTATAAAGGATTCGTCAAACGCTGCAGTTCGGTGGGGAGGTGGATAGCGGTCGGAGGTATGAGATCTAGTGAGACGGGATTGAATGGAATATTTGAATTGTAGGCTAGAGATACGCATATAACCCAGTATTACACCAAGTTGAAGTGGCTCTATCCATCCAACCGTCGTCTGTACTTCCTTGCCACCTTTCTATACCAAGTCATCAGAACTCAGCGGCCTTCTTATATTTTTCACAGCCTACAATTCAAATCACAGCATATCGTTGTGTTCCTTGTAACTATTTATTTAAAAAAAGCCAATGTTCCCACAAAAAAAGTGAACGAACTGCCCCAAAATGGCGTCCAAACATGGCGGATTGACGACTTTGACTTTAGTTAGTTTTTTTGTTACTGAGAATCAGCATTGGGCTTAATTTCATCATAGTTGGTGTTTTATTAAAGCTGGATAGTCAGAGAATAATAAAACATGAAAAAATATTAAAAACTAATTGGCTTAGGCATTAAAAAAAAATCGGTAAAGTCAATTCTTGTTACAAAAAAATTTTCAAGTTGAAAATCAGGCGTCGTTTGTAATTAAACGGTCAACAATAATGCAAAACGTGCTGAAGTAAAACATCTGGAGAATACATTTTTCTTTCTAAAACACTGATTAATTTTTAAAATATTTGAAGTAGTTCCGTAGAAAATGTACTTAAGCGGCAGAAAAGCGCTACTGGCGTAGGTGCCTTCAGGCCTCTACCACACCACTCAGTACTCATAAATGGCTTAGTTATAGTGCTATAATAACGTTTTTGTTATATTATATTGATTGTATTAACGAACAAATATTAATACAATAATTTAATTGTCAAAAAATTTTTTTTTAATTTGTTATTATTTTTTTTATTTTTTTTTTTTTAAATTTAACTTCCTTTATTCTATACGGAGGTCGCTTAAGAAGGCCTCTATTATAAAAATTAGATAATTATAATAATAAAACTTAATTCAAAAATACTTTGCAGAATATCTTGAATTTTTTATTTAATATTTGCAATTTAACATTTTGTTTTATATATTTACTGATTCTTAGAGGTAATTTAAATTGTATATACTTCCCCGGAAATGAGTCATATTAATATCTGTTTTATAAACTAAAATAATATATACCTAATCTGAACTAATATAAAGCTCGATATTATTGAGGTAATATTATTGAAGAAATATAATTGAAGGCAATACATTGAAGGGGTACCTCACACGTGTCAATTCAGGGGTTTCCAGAAGAGGTAGACCTGGAGCCAGGGCTCAAAATCGCCCTGATCACAGGCGAAGGTTTGATTGTAAATTATGAAAGTGTATGTTATTCTGAGTAAAAAAAAAAGCTTTTCTGCCGTTCCATAGCCGCTGCTTTCAAAAATGGCGGCTGATTTAAAATATATTAGGCCAATAATTTGAGGATCGAAACGGGAAATCCATTGCAAAAAATGTGAGAAAAGTTTTTATTTTTTTTAACATGTATATATGGGTTTAAGACATGTAAAAAACAAAATTGCTAACGCGGGCCACCAAGGGAAAACTTTTTACAGCCAATAAAGTCAGATTTTTTGGGTTTTTTACCTATAACTCCTAAACAATGCATCCAAACGAAAAATGTACTCTTTAACAAATTAAAGAACGTTAAATTTTGCGTCAAACGATTACATATACATTAAAATTTGGTTTCGCCGTAAGGTATAAAACCACGGTCAACCAAAGCTGAGTTTTACCAAATTTGTCAAAAACTGAGAAAAATTACTATAAATGGTCCTGTAACTTGGAAATGAGTTCCCTAAGTGAAAGAACCCATAGAATCACAGTTGTAGAGAATCAAATTTTGCGTCAACTGAGTACCAACTAATTTAATGTAGGTCACTGTCTGCGAAAAAAATCGGTAATCTATCGATGGTTAGAAATTGGTAATGAAGGTAAACCTGATTTTCAATATTTCAACAGTATGGGTGTCTTTTCTAATGAGTTGGTTTTGTTTAAAGTCTGTTACATGCAGTATAAGCTTCTTTTCCACCTCTCAACAGCAAAAGATTTTGGTAAACGATGTGCCAAAAGATACCGAATTTTATAAAGGACTAACGAATCCCGATTTAAGATATATAATTGGCCTAAAATAAAAATGTCAGCACTCAATGGACGCAAAATTTGTATGCTCTACAACTTTGATTCTATGGGTTTTTCCTCTTAGGGAACTCATTTCCAAGTTACAGGGCCATTTATAGTAATTTGTCTCAGTTTTTGACATCATTCTCTATCCCGTGAAAACTCCGTAAAGCCTAAAAGGGGAGAGGAAGGGGAGAAAAGCCAAGAATGGTTTTGGTCTGATTTAAGGCCAACTTATTTCACTGTTTCATATCATGATTTGCTTCTAGATCAAAATGTGGTGCTTATGCAGAAGTATGCTGTCCAAGTGCTGACCAAACAGTGCAAGGCTGTGGAAAAACTACTGTTTCGCAACATAATAGAGTTGTTGGTGGAGTACCTGCAGACTTAGGTAACATTTATATCTTTGCTCAACACTCGTCCACACAAATCTTCTTTTTTAATCATATAAAGGTTTATTCATTTTCTTAAAATGATATTTCTTTATGTATCCATTTATTATTTCATCGGTATTTAATATTTCTTATCAACAAAGTTATAACGGTTTATTTAATGTTTAAGTTATTTTAACCGTAGACCCATTACCAAAACTGAGGCCTACTTATCGTAAATTGATTTAAGATAAATATTAACCTATAAAGTATAAAGTAAATTGAACTCACACTCCAACACTGTCATCACCACCTATGTCGACGACACGTGTATCCTACCAGTTAATAACGATCCATTAATTGCATCCCAAACTATTCAACCACACATCACTAGTCTTGAAGAATGGTGCCAAAACTTAAGGATTAAAATAAATCCCATCTAATTATCTTTATCCTTCATCCATCGTCGTAAACCTAAGACTTCCTGTCCTACAGTGTCCTTTAATAATACTCCACTTATCCCTGTTGAACAAATCTGATACCTAGGCCTCCACCTGGACAAACAACACACTTGGAATCCTCATACCAGACTGAAACGAATAGAAACCACCCGATGTTTTCGACTACTGTAGCACATACTCGACAAGCACTCTAAACTTCAAATTATTTACAAAATATAAATTACCATAATAAGGCCTATTTGGACTTACGGGATCGAGCTTTGAGGCTCTACTAAACCTCTCGTATCCAATCCTTACAATCCAAAATCCTTCGTAAAATACCCAATGCTTCTTACTTTCTGAGTAATAAAATCATCCATAATGACCTTAATGTACCATATGTTTCGGATGTAGATCAATATCTGTTGGAAGAAGAATTAGATACCTATCCTCCCTTAATAAACTTCTGAACCCTCTCGTTTCTAAACTTGCTTCCTCTTCTACTCCTGATACGATATGATAGGCATCTGAAAAGAAGATGGCCTCCAGACCTTCTAATATATTGTAGAACTATAATTAGAGTATTATCAATGGGTAGTTTTTCTTCTAGTTGTACATGCCATGGCATTTACATTACATTACATGTAACTAATTTCAAATTTATTTGTTGTATTTTTCATCACAGTTGTAAATTTCTATAAATATGTTTTAACAACAAAATTGGATTCTGTTGAAAATGTTTTGAATTTTTTTTATTTTAGACAGTAAACTAAATAACTATAGCAAATAAAGTAAATATAGCATCCATAGCACCTAGGTAAATATATTTATGTTAGAAAAATTAAATCAAACTATTATTCTTTTCAAAAGGTGCCTGGCCATGGATTGCTGCATTAGGCTACAGAGATCTATATAGATCAAATATAGAATGGAGATGTGGTGGAAGTTTAATCAACAGTAGATATGTTTTGACAGCAGCTCACTGTGTAAGGACACCTCCAAGCCAGTTCCTTACATTGTAAGTATTTAATTTACCAAAGAGTTATATCCCTTAGACCAAAGAGATTGTTTGTTCTTCTTAATAGAGGAATCATATCACTTTTTTTTTTCAGAGCTAAAGTAAGACTTGGAGAACATAATCTCAACTCTGATTCAGATGGTGCAAATCCAGTGGACTATGACATAGAAAAGAGTGTTGTTCATGAAGACTATAGATCACAAAAGAATGACATTGCTTTATTACGTTTAGATAAAGATGTTGTTTTCACTGGTAAGTAATTATTTTTTTACAAACAACCATTCTTCAAACTTAAACTACATTACAATCATTATAATTTTTATCTATTTTACAATTTTAGATAAAATAAGACCTATTTGCCTACCACAACCTGCTAGCCTAAGATCTTCTACTTTTGATAGAAAATATCCATTTGTAGTTGGCTGGGGTGAAACCAGTCTCGGTAAGTTACATAATTATTTTTTTGGTTTTGTAAAGGGATTCCACAAAATAATGGCGTTTCATGGAATGGAACTCCATTATAAAAAATTATTATTAGATAATAATATTTCACAACTTACTTATTAACTAAAATAAAGATGAATAATAGTGATGAGAATTCATTTAATGTTGAGAAAAAAATTTCATTCATTTAATTAATTTTTTTTTAATTTGTAATCATCGCTTCTACCCTAGAAGGTCATTGGCGGCTAGTTTTCTATATTCTATTGTAATATTTTGTCTCTATTAAGTATCGCAATAGGGTGGTGACTCCATCTTCGTTGTCTCTTAATATTTCTTTCATTGCTATTGGTAGTTTCAATTTTTGCCAAATGTTGTTGAACTTGTGGCACTCTACTAACAGATGTTTTACTGACTGCTGTTTATTGTCCCACTTTTAGCACGTGGGTGCTTCTAGTCCTCTGAGAAGATATCCGTGAGTAAACAGGCACTGACCAATTCGTATTCTACACAATATGGTTTCTTCTCTTCTGGATATTCTTGTGCTACTAGCCCACTTGTAGTCTGTTTTTATTTCTAATAATTTTGACTGTATATTTTTCCATCTATTTACCCAATTTTCCAACAACTTCATTTTTGTTGCGTGTAACCAGTCTTCTACTGTGGTATAGTTTATTAAAATTATGGTTGTTGCCTCTCCCTTCATTTCTAAGTTAGCTGTTTGGTCTGCTCTCCAGAACTATAATTAGAGTGCTACCGATGGGTAGTTTTTCTTCTCATTATACATTCCATGTAACTAATTTCAAAATTATTTGTTGTATTTTTCAAATAATAAATACAGTTGTAAATTTCTATAAATATGTTTTAAAAACAAAATTGGATTCTGTTGAAAATGTTTTGATTTTTTTTTTATTTTAGACAGTAAACTAAATAACTATAGCAAATAAAGTAAATATAACATCCATAGCACCCATGTAAATATATTTATGTTAAAAAAATTAAATCAAACTATTCTTCTTTTCAAAAGGTGCCTGGCCATGGATTGCTGCATAAGGCTACAGAGATCTAATTAATCTTATTAATTTTATTTAATTAATTAATCTATCATAAGAATTAAACTATATCTTAATTTTGAAATATAATTATTCTTTTATATTCTCTCTTAGAGGGTCCTTCTTCAGACATTCTTTTACAAGTACAAGTTCCTGTAGTTGACAATGATAGCTGTAAAAAAGCTTATGCAAAACATGGAGCTATCATAACTGAGAGCCAACTTTGTGCTGGAGAAAAGAAAGGAGGCAAGGATTCTTGTAGGGTAAGCAGATCTGATGATGTTTTAAATACGATCATTGTTATATTTTTTCAGATTATTTTGTTTTAATTATAGAAGAAATAATCTTGGGTACCTTGGGCCATAATGTATCTTGAGGTACCCTAAGAATAAGAAATTTCACTGGAGTAAAGTCAAGATTTTTTTTTTTCATGTCTCTTTCTTGAATTTTCTCGAGAATTGACTGAATATATGAACATTAAAAAGACTTTATTAGAAAATTAGAGGAAAGTAAGTTTCATTAGCATTGTTTTTGTGCTATGGCCTATGGAAAAAATCTGTTACAGTCGCTATTGCGCAGTTAGCATCGCCCAATTTGTTTCACAGGCATCGGTAGTTAAGATCCTTAAAAAGTAACAAAATCGATCCACTCGTTTCCGAGATAATCTTGACTCAGACACAGGTAGACCAATCCCTGAAGATGTGTTTTACAGACTCAAGGGGCTCTCCGCTTGACCGCTGAAAATCGCATATCGAAACTTTGAACCCTTACCTAGTAACAGTAGGAAAGTAAGAAATGCAATACAAATTAAAGTGCAGTACAATAGCTTTAACGTATGATTACATTACTTATAGTAATTCTCTTGACCAAGATGTAATACAAATCTGACTAACTTATCACCGGTTATAAATTATTGCACGTTTGATTCGTTTGTGAGTAAAAGCTTCAAATCCGGTGATCTATCTGTTTCACGATCTGTAAAATAACATATTGAAATTTGATTTAACACGAAATTCACGTTTTGGCCCGTTCTGGCTAAACTGATCTTTTTTTGTTGCATGATATTGCATTTTTTGCCCTTTAAGTGCTTAATTTAGACTTAAATAGCATACAATTAAATGTTTAAAACAAATTCCCTCTATAACATATGCATATGCTTCTATGTGAATATTTATTGAATTTTGTTATTTATTTCAGTATCGGATTTATTGTTAAAAACAGAGACATCTTATCAACAATTCACATATCACTATTCAGTATGTTAAAGGTTCAGAATCGACATACAATAGGATATTAGGCATTAAATTTTACAATTTATTAAGTAAATGAAACATTTTATTGTATTAATAATTATGTAATACGACGCATTCTTGTTTTATACTCTTGGGTTAACACTAGATATATAGGCAAAGTAGCTTACTCTCGTGGTTCAATTAGTCGCGGTTCCAAAACATATATTTGAATTATATTTTTAAAATTATTATATATAATAATATAGTAAGTGACTAATGAACAGCTGTGTAAGATTTGTGATCGGGGCCCCAAGATACTCCCATGTTTCTCACCACTACGCTGAGTTAAAGTGGCTTTTCCCCTCCTTCCGAAGACAATATTTCCTAGGTACGTTCCTCTACCAAATCATCAACAGCCATCGTCCTTCTTACGCCTACAATCTTCTCCAGTTCAAATCCTCAGTCCATTCCCTGTCCACAAGATCTCGACCTTCTAATCTTTACATGCCTTCTCACAGATCTGCCTCATTCCAAAATTCCTTTGTTGTTCGCTCTGTCAATTTCTGGAATTCCCTCCCTATCAAAATTCGACATTCCCCATCCATATCCAAATTCAAAACCCTCCTATTCCAATTCCTATCCCAAGAACAGTCAGATAGTTGCTAACCATTCGAGCTGATTTTAATAGAGAATTTGATACATACAAATTCATTGATTGATTCATTGATACATTTTTATTTTTTAATTCTTTATTATTTTCTTAAAAGTGTATACTAGTGCAAATAGCTTTAAGTGCCTTGTCATAGTATCAACTGTTTTGTATATAGTTTCGTTTTTTTTATATAGAATGTTTACCTTATATTTTTTTACATTATTTCTTTTTTTGGATTGATTTTATTTTGGCCAGATGTGATCTTTTAATTTTGTTCTATTTTGTTATTCTCAAGGGACTGTGTCCCAGAATAAAATTATTTTTCTATCTATCTATCTATCTATCTATAAATAGGTATTTATTAATTTACCAGTTTCCGAACAAACAAATATGAAAATATTTGTTAGCAAACAAACCTTATTATCGGTTGGCCGAAAGTTATAAGGAAAGGCCGCCCTTAGTGTTGGATTATTCTAAGCACTCATGTTCTGAAAACATTTATCCGAACATCTACTGTCACTTATTTCAATAATGCTTACTGGGAATTCGGTTTTAAAATAAAGTTTAGAGTATTAGCTTTTTGTTGTCATTTCCACAGATTTGATTGCAACACGTCAAGACGGTACCGGGTGAATTTCAAAGAAAAGTTATTCTATTAATGAATCTATCAGAAAAGCTTATTATTCGCAATTTAGCTACTCGATTAAAGCTAAATCAAGTAAAAAGTCAGGCATTTTAAGAAATAACGAATATTTTAATAATAACGAATATTGTGAACAACGAGCAAAACGCGGAAACGTTAATACAAAGAAATCATTTTTTACGAGTAGTTAGTATATGGCATAGTTCAAGTAACATGAGAATGGCTTCGCCAGGCTCATGCCTAAATATCCCAACGTTCGCACTATCATTTCGAGCTATTCCATCGATGGACTTTTGAGCTGGCAATATATTTTCGTGATCTCTGAGTCTCCCAAATTTTCAATGAATATTGAAGAAGTTCTGTCACAAATTGGTAGACTGAAAAACAATTGTGAAGGAGGAAAGTGCAAGAATTGTAACAATTTTATCTATCTGTAACACTTTGAAAATAAAATAGTTATGATAATTTAAACAAAAACTACAGATTATAATTTTTTTTCTATACATACTAGAGTGGATTAGAAAAGACACTTTATTCTGGGAGAAAGTTCTCTCAGAATAACAATGATGAACAAATGAAAAAACAATACATATCTGGCTATAAAACTGATATTTGTAAACAAGTTTATGTTTCACATGTTATAAAAAATCTGGTGCACACACAACTTTCACTTACCGCTCAACTTTGAATAAAAATTATTTTCTGGCCATGTTGGGCTATTATAAAATTTTTGAATTGCTTTTTTAGCTGAGCTAAAGCTAAAAGATTATAGCTAGCAAATCATAAATACCATTAAAATTACAAAAGTCCTATTTATTATTTCACCGGTATATTGTAGATTATACGATTCGTTGATTATGGATTGTATGATCAGCTGATTATGGATTGTACGACTATTATTTATTAAATTGTTATTTTCCATTGCAAAGAAGTGTACTAAAACGGAATTAAGAGATTTGCATTGTCTGTCATAGACAGGTCAAAAGTCGTCACACTGAATGTAAGTGAATTCTGTTGGAATATCGCAATGGGAAAATTTATCAAATTATTCTTCACTGATTTTATTTTCTAAAAGGTTACATAATGATTTTTTCGGAATATATGGACGTTAGATGCCTAATTATTTAATTATAATATCAGATCAAGAGTTAACTACAGTAAATATATTTAAGGTTATTAACGTATCCATATAATATTGTTATATTTCTCTTCTTCTTTCACACAAGTACAATGAAATAGTATCTTAAACAATGTCATTGCCTTAAATCCGCGGGTTTTAAATACTTTTTCAAACTTAAAAAAAAATTTAAAATTTTACATTTAGTAAGAAAATTTCATTTAATTTCCTTGAAAACAACTGTTTAACTTTAAATAATGTTACTTTTTAGAAGTTATTATTTATATATTTTTCGTCACTCTCTGTTACCTTCTACAACTTTCTATATTATATATTGTTTGTTTTTTAATTCTTTGCTTTTCAATGATATATTATACGTATACCTTCTGACTATTATTTCCGAATATTCATTTTTAATCTGGATAAGTATTTTTCTTTTTTTCTCCTTTATTTAATTATCAAATTCTTCCAAAAGTTATATTTAGCAATTTTCCAAAACTCCTAACAATGATACATAGTTAATATTTATAATGAACCAAATTAAAGGTACTGATAATGAGAAGAGGAAGACCTGATAATGTTGGGATTTCACAAAGAGGAAATTCATCAAATTATTCACTAATTTAATTTTCGAAAAAGCTACATGACAATTTTTCGGAATAAACGTTGTTACCTAATTATTTAAATATAATATCAGATCTATAATCACTAAACTGCAGTAAATGAATTTAAGGTTATAAATTATGCTTTATAAATCCATGAAATGATTTTATGTTTTACTTCATCTTTCATACAAGTACAATGAAATAGTTTTTTTAACAATGCCATTGCCTTGATTAGGTGGATTTCAAATACTTTTTGCAAACTTAAAAATATTTTTTAAACTTTGCATTTATTTATTAAATTTCCTTGAAAACATGTGAATTCCATTAAATAATATTAGTTTTCATAGCTTATTATTTATAATTTTTCGTCACTCTCCATTTCTTTCTACGACTTTCTATATAAGATATTGTTTTTTTTCTAAAATTCTCCACTTTCCAACAATGTATTATACCGATACCTTCTGACAAGTATTTTCGGAAATTTTTTTTCGACCTATATAAATATTTTCCCTTTTTTCTCCAATTTTCAAATATCAAATTCTTTCAAAAGTTATATTAAGCATTTTTTGGTGATTCTTAATAATGAGAGATGGTTAATTATTTAAAATAAACCAAATTAAAGGTATTTTAGAGGAAGACTTGTGGAACATTTAAGCACTTAAGCCCTGTAAAGTGACATTAATGGGAATAAGACCTCAATGATATTAAAGACCACTTAATTAAACAATGATACACCGAGTTTAATCAAAATCGTTGAAGCTGTTTTTGAGATAAATGTGTATAACCGTTGACATAAAGTGCCACTTCCGGTTAGTCGATTTTAATAAAAATGTTGCAGTCACATCTAAGGTATATACCTATCTTAAATAGGTTATATCAGTTTCATACGAGTTTTCATTTTTGAGCTAGACTTACCACATACATACACACACAGACCATTTTGGGGGACTTGGTTATTTAGACTCAGGGAACATCAAAAAGCGTATTTCTGTTGAAAACTAAGATTCGAAAATTGTCAGGATCGCAATACTTTATCTAACTATACATATATTACATATGGGTAAATGAAAGTAAAAATTGAAAACCTTTATTTTTTATGGCCAAATCAAAAAATAATTTATTAATAAAGATATTAAAGTTTTTTTTATATAAAAAAATATAAATAATTTTTACTTCAGTTATTTGTTTTTATTTTTATTGTAAAATAATTGCAATATATTATTTTTATTCCTGATTAAAAAATATTTATAATTCCTATAAAAAATATGTTATCATTCCCAATCATTTTATGTGTAAAACATACTTTATATAAATTTGAAATAAATTAACAGAAATGAAGAGGTTCTAAATTATTATTATAATTAATTTGAGTCATTTTATTAGGATCACCTCTTAATGCTTTTCAATTCAATAATGAGGAAGTTTAAACCACTTGGGTCTTGTGCTCACATTTCTAGTTAGTTATACTGGGAAAAAACTAAAAACTAGGCAGTTGAGCGTAACCTCGGCTCAATCACCTCTCTGGACAAATGTTGGTCTTGAAACAGTACTTCTCTACAAAGTATTGAATACAATGTCCTCCATAGGTTGTAATGGTACACATGTTTTTTTATATATTGCAAATAAATTGAGTAGATATTGTTGTAAGTGGAATAAATGTAGATAAGGAGTTGGAGTCGGAAATAAAACAAAATCTGTTGGCTGAAATCTTAAAACATATTTAACAACATAAAATTATTTACCTATAATATAAAATATTTTAAAGTTTATAATTTATGAATTGACTTTATATACAACTGAATTAACGGTGTACTTTTTTTTATAGGGAGATTCTGGAGGACCTTTAATGCTACCACAGAATGGATCATATTACCAAATTGGTATTATCTCTTTTGGTTATAAGTGTGCTGAACCAGGATACCCAGGGGTGTATGCTCGTGTTACGTCTTACCTTGATTGGATCAAAAATAATATGGAATAAAATTACATTTTGTTTTAATTTTACCAAATAGCACAAACATATCTGTGAAACTGCAAAAAGTGTATTAAGTGCAATTTTTTGAATTTTTATGGGTATTCCCCCAATGATAATTTATCTCTCTTTCTTTGTGGAGCTAAGTTATGTGGCTATTACAGAGACGAACAGAACATTACTTTGTGGAAATTGAACTTGCACCTGTGAAAATTCCAACCTTTCAATTGTGTTTTTCCATAAATATGATTTTTGCACTTAACACACTATGTACAGGTACCACAAATACATGTATATTAGTATATAAGTTAAATAAATCTGACTATTTTCCATATAATTCAAAAGATTGTATTGAGGGCTGGTTATCAACAAATGATTTGTGATAATCACTTTGTATTAATTCACCTATTTCAAAAGAATATATATATACAAGCAAGAGTGGGATAAATATTTTATTTAATAATCAAAATTCAAATAAATTTATAACATTATCACAGCTCCTATAACATTGATTGTAAAGTATACATAAAGAATAGAGTTATGACTGAATTTTATTTCTTCAAAATAAATTGAATAATGTATTATTTAAAATAATTGTAACAAATGAAGTCCAATATGATCAGTTAGATATAGAAATTGTTACATTAAAATATTCTGTATATTATCAAAATATTTATTTTTTAAATATATCTTTTAATGTTTTGTTAATTTATTTTCTCATTTTTAATATTTTTCATGTTTCTTTTATTATTTCATTTTAGCTTTTAGTGTGTGTGTGATATATTTTGATATTAATAAATGTAAATATGAATACCAAAACAGCTTTTCGTAAATTTTAGTTACACTTTTCATAAATAAAATATGTTACAAATCCCTCTGTTAATGAACTTGCATTAGTTAGTTGTTAAAATTAGTTAAAGTTGTTTTTTGGTTACAGTACATGACACGTTATATATAGTTTTTCCCATGAAACAATACTCCTTTTCAGACATCAAATACGAATAAATCCAAATCAAGTTTAGCTAAATCAAATAGTAAAAATTGTGTGGATTCTGAGCAGTAACTGTCAATCCCATGTTATGAAATATTTGTCACTATTAAATATTCAGCTATTTTTCAAAAGGAAATATATGACCGTGAAATGTACCAATTACAGTTAAAAATTAAAAATATATTAAAATGTGCAAAAATATGTTATTCCAAGCAAAGCACCATAAACTATAACAAATGACAACGCGGGTTTGCGGACCTCAGAAGGTACCTCAAGCAGGGTGAAGATTTCTGCAAAAAGTTGGCAACTATTCTTAAGGAAAGTACCTGATGAAAAGGTAATGATTATGATCGCATCAGGTTATTGTAAACTACATATCTTCAAGAGAACTAAATACTTGAAAAGAACCAAATGATCATTTTTTTCTTATTGTCTTATTTAATAGCCCTGAAATATATATATATGTAATTTATATATAAGAGCCTGTGTATATGGAACTAGAACTTTTCCTAATGGAAATTTTCAATTAAAAGTTTGATAGAACAATCTTTTCTTGACTTTTACTTAAAAGTTCAATAACAGCAATTCATTTTGCTAAAAAGTAAACTTAAAAATTGTAAATGGGCAGTACAATCTTAATAATTTATGCCCAATGAATGGTTATTTCTGATTTCTCATTACTTTTCCTTTCGCCGACACAACAACGATTCAAGCATTGGTTTGGTTCCAATCATAGCAATGGGTGCAATAGTTACTCCTCCTATTAATAAACACATTCTTATGTCAGGGAGAATGGAAGTAGATGAATCTTATGCTTTATTTTTGTATGAGAGAGTATGCCAGTAGTAATGCTTATATTTAATATATATTATATATTTAGTTAATGCTTTTCTATTAATATCTAGAGGTTCGTTTCTTTTCTCAGTTCCATCAGCAAGTTAGATACAAATCAATTTGCCTTTTCTCCGTCTTGTTTATAATTTATCTTGGACTTTTATTTATATTTATTCTCTCTTTTCTCGTCTTTGGACAACACGGGATTCGGAAGTAGTTGATCATGGATACTTTATCTGTCATTATGCATTTATAAGACTAATGATGTTCATTCACTTCAGTTCATTGAAAATGGTTCCATCAGTTCATCTTCTTCTAGGTGTATATTAAAATGGTATAACCTCACTGCTACTTCCCGTCCATACAGGAAGCCTGAAGCATCCACCGCAGGAGCCCCCAATATTTGCGGAAAAAATACAAGACAATTACTTAAGGCCAAACATACTAAGGAACTTCAAAAATAAAAATAACGATTTTAGAGGCTCCCAGAGGGACCCCCCAATCACTATACAGTGATAAAAAAACAAAATTATTTTGGGAAACACCTGAAGGACCTCAAACATTTGCAGAAATAAAAAAAATACAAAACAATTATTTTAGGGGTCAATTGGAGGCCACCAAAAATTAGGGGAAATAAACGAATAAAAAACAATTATTTTGGAGGCAAAACATAGCACGGAACGAGATAAATACAAAATAATGATATTCGAGGCCCTCAGATGGGCCTCGTTCCTAATCTTTCTGTGGCGATAAGAAAATACAAAACATTTATGTTGGGGCCCAATAGGAGAGTTCCCAAATGTTTGTGCAAATACAAAACAATTATATTTGGTTCCAAACGTACAACTGTACTAGATAAATACAAAACAATGAGCTTTGTAACGCTCAGAGAGTGCTACCAATCATTCTATGGCGCTGAAAAAAGTACAAAATGTTTATATTGAAGATCCATCGGAGGGGTCCCAAAATTTTGGAAAATAAACGAATAAAAACAATTATTTTGGGGGCCAAATATATAATGGTACAAAATCACGATATTCGGGGCTATCAAAGACCCCCTCAATCATTATACAGTGATAAAAAAGTATAAAACATTTGCTGAAATAAACAAGTACAATATAATTGTTTTGGGGACCAAACATATAAGGGCACCAGATAAATAGAAAGCAATGAACTTTCGGTCCCCAGAGATGCACCAAACATTCTGCGGTGATAAAAAAAAAGGTTCAAAACAATTATTTTGTGGACCAAACATGCAACAGTTCTAGAAAAATATAAAGCATTGGTTTTTCAGGTAATTTTAGTCTGTTTTATATGTTTTAGTAGATCAGGATATTTATTTACCGATGACAGTCTCTATAATATTTTATATAATTACTTAATAATTTTTTTTTAAATTTAAAGTCTCTATAATTTTTTTAAATTACTTTATTCCTAGAGAAGCTTTTGGTGACCTGCACCATATTCATCTCTTTAATATAACCCATTATAACAATTAATATACATAATGCTAAATACTTTTTAAAAAATTGTCATGCAGTTATTTTCTTATTTTTCTATTTAAAAACAATAGAATGGAACAGTGTTTGTTCTTTGTCTCAAATCTTGTCTAAAATTCTGAGCCTACATTATTTTATAACTAGTTATTGCCCACTACTTCAATCACATAGTCTTCACTTTATGCAGATATATGAGGTTTTCAGTTGACAGAATGAATAACTCCAAGTTCAACATTTTTTATTATTAATTTCATTGATGTTTCTAGTGAGAAAATTTATATCTTTATTCACAGTTTTATATTTCAACACTTCAAGCACCTACCATGGAATCAACATACTGTCTGTACTGATATGAATTTTCCAACTAGAAATATCACTAAAATGACTTTACTAAAAAATGTTGAAATTGGAGTAAGTCATTCTGCCAACTGAAAGGCTCATATATTAACTATGAGTGCCTGGCACTCGTTGTAATGCCACAGAAATAAAGAAATTATTACCATGTTTTAACTCTGCACATGCTAATAATTATGCATACACAATATTGCTGTCCAGTGCCAGCCTTAGACATTCGGCGCCCTAGGGCAATGACGTCATTTCCCTATTGGAATGACGTCCATTCCCTCTAAAAAAAATTAAATTTATTTCTTAAGTTCTTTTATATTATGTAATATTTCATTCAACGTCTCTCTAATGTAGTCACTTTATTGACAGGCTGAAGTTTATTGAATTTTATTTAATTATAATAATATAATATAAATTAACATATAAAATATAAATTAACAAGTTGGTGAGTGCCCTTTAAGATCGGCCGGCGCCCCCAGCAAGCGCTTCTCCAGATCGGCGCCCCGGAGCAATTGCCCCGGTTGTTCCGCCTTAAGGGTTGTCTTCGTATGGTGGCACACCTTATGTCACAACTACATTTTGCAACATTTTTCAAACCCATTCTTAAACGTACATCACGTAATTACACTTTTAATAAATATACAACTAATGCTTAAAAGACAATGTTATCATTTTTTAAAAATGTTTTGCATAGCTCTTCCCACAGCCTCTGCCCTCTGCCCTCTGCCCTCTGCCCAAAGCGTTGCATCGGTTGCATTGGCGTTATTGACGCATTGGCGCTTATCAGGAGGGGTAAGCTAAATTTTGCCAACTCCTCATTAAATGCCAACATTTTATATCAGTATTTTAGGTAATGTACTTTATTTAATGAAGTGCTGCCCTACTAGGGTTGCTCAATACATAGCATACTTATCAATAATTTTTTTTTTTTGACATAGCATTTAATTATACTTAAATCTCATATTTATATATATACAAATTATTTTTCTTCTTTTCCATATCACTCATCATATACAATACTAAACTATACTATATCAACATAATCACTATTAAACAATATATATATTTCGGTAAAACCGATACAAAACAAACTCTGAAATCATTAGAAAAAAAAAATTCGAATGCCAAAATTAGAACGCACACATACCTAGTAACATAATCCCACGAACACAAATAAAAAGATATAATTAGTTAAAATATTTAAAATTGAATAAATAAATTATAATAAATATCTATAAATAACCCTCAATTACTATATAAGTGGTGATGAATGATCCCAAGAGAGTCCAGAATAATGCTCTCGGCACTGTAAGCTCCCCCACATCAACACCTCATTTCTCTTTTAGGAAAGGGATACATTTTTATTTTTAGGCATATATTTTCTTATTTTCTTTTTATACTTCACTGGCCTGATCGAAGTCATTGCATTCATAGTGAACAGTTGGATCCAAGATAGGTACCGCCTTTCCGGTCCTGAAGAATGTAACTATATCCGTATTTCTCGTTGAGCCATCACTATCGATAAAACAGATCTCGTCGAAGCATGTGAATTCCCTTTCCCTAATGAACCTCATTAACTCAAATTTGGCCCTATAGTGCCGGCATATTATGAGGAGGGAGTTGTTGCGGCATTTTCACATGGGTTGGTGATCCATACTCTGCCGCATTTACGACAGAGGGACCCAACCTAGTTCCTCGAAGCTCCTTGTTCTTTTCGGAATCGTTCAGCGAGACCCAAACCAGAAGCCTCTCACGGTGAAATCTCTCTTTCCAAAGGTCTCGCGGGATTTCTCTTTTAGGAAAGGGATACATTTTCATTTTTAGGTATATATTTTCTTATTTTCTTTTTATACTTCACTGGCCTGATCGAAGTCATTGCATTCATAATGAACAGTTGGATCCAAGATAGGTACCGCCTTTCCGGTCCTGAAGAATGTAACTATATCCGTATTTCTCGTTGAGCCATCACTATCGATAAAACAGATCTCGTCGAAGCATGTGAATTCCCTTTCCCTAATGAACCTCATTAACTCAAATTTGGCCCTATAGTGCCGGCATATTATGAGGAGGGAGTTGTTGCGGCATTTTCACATGGGTTGGTGATCCATACTCTGCCGCATTTACGACAGAGGGACCCAACCTAGTTCCTCGAAGCTCCTTGTTCTTTTCGGAATCGTTCAGCGAGACCCAAACCAGAAGCCTCTCACGGTGAAATCTCTCTCCAAAGGTCTCGCGGAATTTCTCTTTTAGGAAAGGGATACATTTTTATTTTAAGGCATATATTTTCTTATTTTCTTTTTATACTTCACTGGCCTGATCGAAGTCATTGCATTCATAGCGAACAGTTGGATCCAAGATAGGTGCCGCCTTTCCGGTCCTGGAGAATGTAACTATATCCGTATTTCTCGTTGAGCCATCACTATCGATACAACAGATCTCTTCGAAGCATGTGAATTCCCTTTCCCTAATAAACCTCATTAACTCAAATTTGGCCCTATAGTGCCGGCATATTATGAGGAGGGAGTTGTTGCGGCATTTTCACATGGGTTGGTGATCCATACTCTGCCGCATTTACGACAGAGGGACCCAACTTCCTTTCCCAACTTCGACTGTCTACTGGCTCCTAGGACTCCACGCAACGACGCGTAGTTGATATTAAGATTAAAGACCTTGGACCATTCAGACCCCGAAAATACTTCTATCAGGCATTATTTATTATTAGCTTAATATTTATTAGCTTTCGGGGTCTCTTTAAAATGCCTAACTCCATCTGATCTAGGCTGCAACTGGCCCATTCTTCAAAAGAATTCTCTCTCAGCGACTGTCGTAGAGCTCTCACATTTCGGTAGCCCTGATCAACACCCAGTCTCTCCGCAAATTCGGCTATTTCGGCGTTATGATCAATTATGGACTGGGACAGAGCAATGGACCAATGTTTCAAAGGAATCTTCTATTGACAGCGGATCTGTCCCAATTCTCGATACCTCCTTGGTGCGTATAACATCGCCGATGATGTATTAGCAGAGAGCCCTATGACTGCCTTAATACTCCTACAGATATTTACTTCAATTCCCTCAAATAACTCAGGACGTATCTTTGTAAAAGAGACCGTGAGAATCCTCATCAACATATCGATTGACAACATTGATCTTTTCCTCCGGTTTGAGAAGGCAAGAGCTCACTAGTTTATCCAAGTTGTCGTTAAATGATTCTCAAGGTCCTATGTAATTAACGAACAATAATACTTTTTTGAGATAATTTTTTCGTAAGACATGGATATATTTTACCATTTTGGGGAAGAGAGGGAGTTTCAGCCTGAAAGACCGCCGATGACACGCCTGTGGATGGGAGTATGTAGGCAGTAATTGGTGGTATTGACATAGAACTTTATTATATAGATTATTATTACCATATCTCTTTCATTATTTAAACATGGGATAATAGACTATTAGCAGATTAGGGTTGGAGTAGAGGAGAGAGCGCCTGCTAAATTCTCGCCCTAGGCGCCGAAACTCCAAGCGACGGCCCTGATCATTGCTTGTGAAATGTCTAAACTCACCTTTAGGTTTTTGAAAATTTGGTAAGGGGTATTGAAAACTGATACATCAGGATGCCGAAAATGGTGCATATGGATATTTTTTCGTTTTCCTATAAAAAATAAATGAAAGACAGTGTTTGTATAAATTGTAATTAGATATGTTAACTGACTTAATAGAAAACGTGCCGAAAACTGGGGGTTTTAACCCATTAAAAATTTGTTACTTTAGAAACGTATTCATTTGCAATATTTTTTAAACTACAAAAAAAAAAAATAGAAAGTGCTCCAATTCATTTCGTTTTGGTTGTATTTCATTAGGAATAACTTTTTAAAAGTAGCTCTATGGATCACTTCAAATCATTTTACCTTTCTGTAAGGTTACATATGTCAATGTTTACTAACATTTTGAACATTGTTCAAGTTTAGTTACACTTTAGTTTATTAGGTAATGTTATTTATTAGTTGTTTTTTTTACAAAAACTATAAGTTTTTCAATTATTCAGATTGTTTCTTTCAATATTCTATGAATATCATGTTTTAAAATAATTTGAAATTTAAACGGAGCACAATTTTCTATACATTTTTAGGTTAACCATTAATGATTTATTAAAATATTCCATAATATTTAATTATGTCTGATTTTTGATATTTTATCTATAGTAAATCATTATTGTTACCTGAGAAGCGTTCCAACAAAATGGACTTAATAAGTAAATAGTTGTTTTTATATAATACTGGTTCATCAACATTTTTTGGCTCTTGAGTTATTTGCATCATTTAAAATTCCATTATTTGCATAATTTAATTAGTGTTTCAATTGAGTTTACTATTTATATGTTTGTGAAATATAATTTTTGTATAAACAATGATTTATGAATACCTTATCAAATGAATATGTATTTGTATGATATAAAACATGGAAATTATCACAAATTAGTATGAATCTAGATATACTAATAAATTTATAGTTTTACTTTCAATTATTACTTTCAGTTATTATCATACATCGAAAATGGATGGTCCTAAGCTTGAATGGATGTACAAAGATTCCAGTGAAGTTGTTGATAGAGAAGAATATTTACTAGGAAGACCAATTGATAAAGCTTTTGAACAGTCCTCATTTTCAAATGAAATTGAAAAAGGTAAGTGTGGAATTAAGATAAATGACAGGTCATTTATTATGTTATTGTGTAGCATTAATTAAACTAATATAAATTATCATTATTAAAATGGCATAGCAGTAGTTGTATATTCTATTGTTTATATTGATTATGCTATAACAGTAATGCATATGTTCACAATTTATAATAATAAGTTATATCTAATTTTTAGATTGTTTGCCAACTTCAATTTTTGCAAATGCTGGAAGCAATGTTCAGGTTGATGTGATTCGTAAGCTAAAAGAAGATCCTCTTGAAATCATAAGACAACAAGAAATAGATAGAAGAAAACAATTATTAAAAAATCCTGTAAAATTGAAGAAGCTTCAAAATATGGTATTTGTTTTTTAAATATCCCTTATATATATTTCATTTTTTATAAATTTAAATTATTTACAGAATTTGTTGTCGGGTCCTTTTTTTACTTTCACTTACCTATATATGTAACATTATAGTAAGGGTAAGTATGGCGATCGTGAAAATTTTCAAATCGTGAGTTTTCAATGGAAATACACGTTTTGGCGTTACCTTAGTCCAAATAACCCTCCGCAAGTCCAAATAAGACCCGCAAATGGTTTGTGTATGTAAACAATTACGGTAATTTTTTTTTAAAGGAATGTAATAATATTAAAATAAATCTAGCTCGATCACAAGAAGGAATATCTTAATGTAAATGTTAAAATACACATGTGTTACTGTCTTTGAAATTGAAATGAAATGATCTGTGTTGATTGATATTTAATAAGGGGGAATTTTACTGTTATATGATTGCATTTCCAATTATAGCCACTTTTTTATTTTTCTAGTCATATCTTTTAGGTTGGGTGCTATTTTTTAAAAAGTTTTATATAAAATATTAGGCCAAAGGTCACCAAACGTACACAGTTTTTACATCCTTTATTACTTATTCGACGTTTCGGTTTCAGGAGCCATTTTCAAGATCCTGCAAACTAATTTTAATTCAGTTGTCATACTTCAAAATACATCCTTATAAAACACATATTAATTTTAAAACTATCAGTTATATAAATAGTCCAAATTCTATTTTATAAAAAATTTAAAAAAAAAAATTTTTTTTAATTTAAAGAAACTTTTTTTTTTTAATTTTACCAAAGGTGGCCTTTGGCCTAATATTTTATAAATAAACTATTTATCTTCTTATAATCTACTTACTACTTTTTACTTATCTCAAATACTTTGAGTGTAATTAATGAAAATAGGTTTGTAACCAATATTTAGTGATAAATGTCATAATGAATGATGCCGGGTGTTCTTACTACACTATTAATTTAACATGACTGGAAAGGGCTTTAAATTATTTGTTTGTGATAATAAATTAATTATATATAAATATAGTATAATATTAATTATTAAGTTAAATATGTCAGAAAGAAAATAGGTAATGAGTGTTATCATTATTTTACTTGACATTTTTCTATTAACATTATTGGGGATAATTGCAAAACAAGTAGTTTTATTAGGTCATTTATTTTGGGTTAAGGTTTCATATCTGTCTAAAATTTTGTTAGGTCAAGAATATCAATATTGTATTAAAACATAATGACTGTTATCACGAGTGTTATAGTGTATCTAGGGATGTGAAGGTACTGGTGGAGCAGTTACTTGTCACCGAGTCTTAGTTTGGAACAGTGACAGTGACAAAATTCTTAACCATTCCCGTAGTTAATTTATGAATATATTAATATGTTACATATTATATTTCTTTTTGTCCATTAATTAATTGATATGTCATAGGTTTATAGCAAAAAGACATTTCATTACTTACTAATTAATCTGGCAGGGACTAGCTGATATACAAGGCTAGTGGAGATCAACGCTCCCCTGTTCTCCTGAGTTCAGTACACTGCACAAACATCCATAAAACAATACACATACATTGGGGAAGGGGGCGGGTGACCAAATGGGCTAACGCGTGTACACAGCATCACCACGAGTTCGCGTCCCGGTGCAGAAAGGGATTTTAAATTCCCCACCTTCATACCCCGCCCCGGGAAAACCCTGTATAGCCTAAAAGGTGAGGAAGAGGAGGACAAAAAAAAAATACACTTACAGTGACAGGTCATACACTACACACCATAGGGTCTGTAGGATTCTGGAAGGACCCTGTGGTATAAATTGTATAAATTGTGTATGAGAGTATAAATTGTCCCCAGTTGTCTCGAGGTAACAGGGCCTCTATTATAGGACTAATCAGTTGTAGTGGAGTAAAACTGATTTAGAACAAACAAACTTGCCTAGGAAATGGATGGACAAATCAGTCATAGCTCTCTAAGAGAAATCAGAATTAGAACATGGAATATTTAAACACTGAATGGCAAAGAAACAGATCGTGAATGAGATTAAGTCATATGGTGTGGATCTAATGGGCATATGCGAAAGGAGGAAAAAAGGGCATGGAGAAGTACGTCTGAATGAACAACACATACTCATCTACTCTGAAGTTTCCACAGGTTTTAGAGGAAGTGGAGATTATTATGAAAGAAAGCCTAATTGCCATAGTAGACGACTGGGAATCTATATCTTTCAGAATAATTTCACTGTCCCGCTGTCAAAATTGGGCCTTACCGATACTCTGTCACTGAAACAGTAACAGCGGAGCAATGACAGAGTACCGGTAAGGCCCAACTGTGACAGGCACAGGTATGGAGCAACCCGTTTGTCTGGCTAGAGTCACGGTGGCCTGAGTAAAAGGGGTTTTCTCAATTGTCAAGTATCAAATTATTAAAAAAATATATTTGAATGGAATGAATCTATTATGAAAATGAATAAATAATAATTAAACACGGATCAAATTTTAATTCAAATTATAAATACTATTTTCTCGACTGTTAATAATATATATTTTCTGTGGATATTGAGGTTCAACAAAACAAATCACATTATTGTTTTCATATTCACATACTACTTGGATATGATACAAATCCTTTTATATATCGAATACGATTACAACAAGCGCACAGTTTTCTGATTTCTTAACAGAATTAATTATTTAAAGTAAAAAAACTTCTTTTTGCTATAAACCTATGACATATTAATTAAATAATGAACAAAAGAAGACTGTTGGTGAATAAATATGATATATAAGATATTAATATATTCATAACTTAAGTAAGAGAATGGATAAGAAGACTTTTGTCACTGTCACTGGACCATTATTTTGTCACTGTCACTGTCACTGGACCGTTAATTTGTCACTGCTCCAATGGTGTCATTGGAGCAGTGACAGACTCATACTGGACTCTCACATTCCCAAGTGTATCTATGATAAGTTTGCGTGTAGGAGAAGGAAACTTGCACAGCTTTCTCCCACTTAAGTTCCACCTCCCCAAGACTACTCTCCAGCTCCACGAAATACGTACGAATGAGTTGAGAAGACAAAAAAGTGGGAGATTGGCGGGAAAATGTTTTGCCACTGCGCTTCTCTCCCTCTCTACCAAACTTATCTTAGATGGAGTCTACTACTATTAGAATAAATTTATTTTAATTGTTCCTACTACCAATTGGATCATATCATTTTCATCATTTGGAGAGCAGAAAGAAGATTTTAGTTGTTTTTCTTATGAGCATTGTTGAAAGAATAGAAAATTATCAACTTTTTTTTCTCATGCTGATTTAAAATATTTATTGTTTACTTTATCATATTCATAGCCTTTATTATATCTTTCCAACATACTTATGAAGTATTGTTTACTTAAACAGATTGGATTATTTTTTAATTTATTCTATGTAACTAGATTTTGTTATTTAAGCAATTTTCATTTTTTTTAAATAGCTATGAAGTAAATATTTACTTGATAATTTTTCAAGAAAGCTTTTGTACCTTAAATAAAAAACTTGCATAATTAAGATTTGTTTTCTATAAATCTATTGCACATTTTACAAATGTTAGTGTGAAAAGTTCCCAAAAGAATGTAAAGAATAAAAAGATTGAAATCAATTTATGTATTAAGCAGTATATCATATTATTTTATATTACGTTTATCTATCTACTTTCAGAGTGGTTTCTAAGCTCGAAGATGGCTACCAAGAACCATTTTATTCTATACAGCCTTTTCTTAGCTCAGTGACGCTCTAAGCAAAATCATATTTCCAAAATAAAAAATATAACTAATATTTAGAAAACTGACAATTGAAGCTCAAGTTTTTTATCTAGGACATCTATACTAATATTTGAGATATTTTTTTCTTAAAAGGATGATATTTTTTTAACTTGAATTGCTAGATCCAGAATACTAAATAGTCAAAATATATAAGAATGATCCTGTCTCTTATCTCAAACTGCTCTAATTACTTTATTTATTCATTGTTGATAATAGTTACAATAGTTTACTTTTTTTAGTAATTGTTATAATATTCAATTTTTTTTAAATTAATTTTGTTTTTAATCTCTTTTCAGCTTAAAACAAAAGAAAACAACACCTCTGTAAAAAAAGATAAAATCAGTGAAAAGAAAAAAACTAGTGATCCTGATTCATCTGATATTGATAAATTGTTAGCTTCTAAGTATCTTAAAATAATGAAAAAACATGGTATTAAATCTCTTTCGGAACTCTCTAATATAAAAGTTGAGAAAAAACTTAACTCTTATAAGAAATCTAGAAAAAGCGTAAGTGAAACCAGTTCTTCTAGTTCTGAAAGTGAATCAGATGAAGAAAAATCAAGGAAACATAAGGAAGAATTTAAAAAGAAGCATGATCAAAAAAGCAGTAATTCTAGAGATTACAATAAAAATCATCATTATTTACATAAAAAAGGAAATTCTTTTAGAGACAAAGAATCAGATAAGTATTTTGATGAAAGAAACAAAGATAGGAGAGATAAAAAGTCGCCAACTAGAAATCCCTCAGAAAAATTTAAGACTGATAGAACTAGGAGACATGATAAAGAAAAGGTAAGTTTAATTGGTTTGAATTATAGCAATTGTTTCCTTTATATAAGTTTTATGAGTAGTTATTTGAGTTAAATCGAGAAACGTTTTTGGAAATTCAATTCTTTAGTTTTTAAGAGTGGGTTAGCTCAGTGAATAAGGCACTGCTCCCTAATCTCTTGGGTCTGAGTTTGATCCTGGCAGTGGCAGATGATTATTAATCTGTTTTATATCAGCTGTTGTTTGACTTTGGGACCAAAAAGGCAGAGCTTTCATAAAATAGGTACCATCCTGTTTTATTTTTTGGTTTGGGGGAAGCTTAGTTGAGTATGATTCTTGATCACCTCCTGGCCTAAAAACAGTTCTTCCTCACCAAGTACCACCCTTGTCAACTGTCATTATTGGAAAGTTGTAATCTTATCTGAATAGGAGTGCTCCACCTAAGTCGCAAGCGTCATACTGAAGGTTCAGAATTAGCATGCTGGCTGCCAGTAGATTTTTAATTTTTTTATTCTTAATTCGTTATTTAAAAAAAAAAAAATTGTGGATATTCCCATTCTCTTCTGTAAATATAATCTTATTCATTTGTATAGGCATAAACAGATCATTGTTAATATTTGTACTCCTGTAGTTTATTATAACAGTAAGAACAAAAGTTTATATTTTGTTAGTCCAATAATTTAATTTAATTTTTATGATTTCAATCATTTTAGGAACATAATATAAATAATATGTTGTTGTTGTTCTGGATTTTATTTTATATTCTTTGTACTATTATCATAATTTTAATTAATATTCGCATCCTTATGTTTAAAAATTTAATTGTCTCTCGATTTTGCTTTAAATGGTTGTTCTTTTAGTAATTTGTGAATCTCTTTATTATAGATTGAATATGATCGATTATTAATACATATTCCATAATGTATTCATTCCTTTTCATTTCCTTACAGATACAGTTACTGTCAACTATCTAGTGAAGCCTTATAGTGCGACAGTCTGGCCACTACTGTCGTAATTGTGATTATTAGACATTTTACTCATTAATAGTTACCACAAACTATCATTTATTATTTTACTGTATTCAGGATCTAGTTATGACCCTACTCTGTGTCCTTCAATCGGGAATCGTTGTGTGAGGATCCATTGATGGTCTATTTCAAAGAAAGAATTATAGGTCCTTATGCATCTACTGACTCTGAGCCGTCATAATATATGGGTATAGATTAATTTGCCACAGTCTTTGAACCCGAACAATACTGTCAGACAGGCCCCAAATGGATGGCCTCCCTCTGAATCATGGAGACCGTGGTTCATAGCTACATGAAGTTGGGTGATCCCCTCTATGCTATACGTGCTGCGGCAAGCAATATGCCTCAGTAAGAAGACCAGCTTGCTCAACCAAAGATCTAAAAGTTCTATAGTGCAGACAGAGAAAAAAAAAAAATATATATATATATTGACATAAGAATGTAAAAAGCCTATTACTGTGCTGGACAAGCCAAACTGTAGAAACATGATCTTATTTAGTATGATGTAAATCACAAATGTCAAGTTTAAGATGCAGATATTGGATAACAAGGTCTGATTTCCAATCACAACACAATTTATTACTTAGATGCTTGAAAAGGAAAATGTTATATTCACTAGAAGTGCCGCCAATTTTGATATAGAATCAGCTGCAAAATGCAATTATTGATTAATTTTGTGACTTCATAATCATTCAGATTTTTTTGAAATGAGGATAACATCTTTTAAACATAGTAGTGAAAATACAAGCATTAATTTCGCAATTAATGCTAATACTAGCGTATTAGCTTTCTTTAGAGATGAATGTTTAGTGTTTAGGTAAAATAAGAAAATGGAAGTGATCTAATTTTTGTAACCAAATACTGAATGTGTTTGTGTTTTTATCCATATGTATTTAAATAAAAACATTAACCATTAAATAGGATTTTATTAATGTTCTAAATTAATTTATCTCTGGATCTGGATCTCTGGATGAATAAAATTTGGCAGTAATCCATTAGAGAGGTGTCTATTATAAGAGATTTATTCTACTTATCATTCTTGACAGTGTTTAAGTTATGATATGTATTGTAGTTACCCTACCTGAGTTGTCAACTGGCCACTGCAGCTTGATTAAAAATCAGAAGTTAAGAGTCCAGTATTTTACCTCACATTAAATATTGTAAGGGGGGCCTGAAAGTAATGTCGTTCTGAGCATGTCACTACTGGATTGTCATTTGACAGCTCATTGTGTACATCTATTATTATAATGTCAAAGTAATTATAAGGTTAAATAATTAAATTTAAAATTTGTTTGGCAATTTTTGTTGAAATGGCCAGCCAAATAACAGAAGAGGTACTTACCCAGCATTGCCTGCTTTTTGAGTTTCACAGGATAATAATGCAACAGTTGCTACCAAAAACACTTGTGATGTTTATCCAAATGCATTAGACGTTTGTAAATGCCAAAAGTAGTTTTTCAAATTCAAATCAGGTAATTAGAGTGCTACCAATGGGTAGTTTCTCAACAAGCGTCGTGTTTCATGTGATAATATTCCTCTATACACATTTACTTGATACTTAATACAGTTGTAAATATCATAATAAAAGTTTAAAAAAAAAAAAAAAATCCGGTAATTTCATCCAAGAAAGAAAATTTGCACCAGATCGGAAAACCACCATATGCAACTTATTGTTTCAATGGCACAATAACAGAAGCGTTTTTTGTTCACTTGATTGACGAAGATAAAAAATAGATCCTGTATGATAATCCAAAAAGCTGTGCCTCTCTCTCTCTCTTAAAGAATCACTATGAAGTACTGCTAAGCCAGGTTTACTTCCCAAAAAGGCCCTTTTGTATGTTTGGTAGAGTATTCCTAGCTTTGCTCATTTTGAAGTGCTCAAACCAGTACTTTCTGTTCCTCCTAATATTTAGTGTTTAGAATTTTTGACTTTACGGAATTCAAGGGGGAAAATTAATTTAAAAGTGGCCAACCAGTTGAGAAAATGCTATCAATAATTACATTCACATTTCCTCACACCTAATGATATTGTCTTAACTGATCTCAGGTAACATAAGAAATGAAAAATGAATTAACAACCAAAAGTAATGGAATGTATGAGATAAAAAATGTAAGTGAAGACGAAAAATAAATGCGGTGGCATAGTTGCCAAAATATGATGTAATAGTATACTAAAAGGAAGTGAGATAATCATAGAATAAAATGTAAAACAGAAAAGGAATATGAAGTTATATAAGGAAATAACAGATGTAAATAGAAAATTGAAATACTGTAAAATCTATTAAAACATACTGACTATTATACGTATGTAGTCATTATTATATGTATACGTATACCCTTAAACGCCAGTATGTTTTGATAGATTTTACAGTATCTCAATTTTATATTTACATTTATTATTTCCTTATATAACTTTATATCCCTTTTCTCTGTTCCTTTTAGTATACTATTACATCATATTTTAGCAACTATGTCACCCCATTTATTTTTTGTCTACAGTTATGTTTTTTATCTCATACATTCCATTACTTTTCATAGTGAATTCATTTTTCATTTCTTACTTTACCTTATTTTGATTATGTTTATTTCATTAGTCCCTACTTTGTTGCCGTTATTATTTATTTCTGATTTTTCTGTTACTATTATTATTATACCTTCTTTGTTTTACTTCAAGTTTATTCTACCTACATTTTTTAGACTATACCTTTCACCTGCATATTAACTTCTTTTTTGTTTTTTATTTTATTTTATTTTTTTTATTATTTAATGTTTATAGTTTCTCATACCTATTGTTATCTGTTTTTTCAAGTTGATATATGATTTATTATTAAATTATTTTTATAGAATGCTGACCGAAATCCACATAAGAGAGATCTTTCTGCAGGACACAGGCCGCGTACAGATTATACAAACAATGCCAGCAAAAAGCACAAGAGCAATAGTTTATCAGAAAATGAAAAGCAAAAACGCTTGAATGAAATGATGGATAATGCTAAATGGAGAGATGATGTTAGATATCAAAATATTGCCCGGTATAAAAAGGAGGAATCATCTGAAAAAGTTGAAAATTATAGTGAAGATTTCTTGAGGTAATTGTCAAAATATTAATAATCATTTCATCAATTATTTAAATAAATAATATTTTCTGAAGAAAAAAGTATATTATTTGTATTATTCATAAAGTGTGCTGTTATTGTTCATGAAACATATTTCATAATTGCATTTTATTTGTGCAATTTATATATTTGTTAAAACGTTTTCCATATCCTAATAACATAATTAGCGACCAGATTTTCGTGTGTAAAAATCAGAGAAACCTGCAGTAAAAACCTAAAAATGTGCCAAATCGTGTAGTAAAAACCTAAAAATATAAAAACTTCAATAAAGTAATTAAGTAAATGACCCTTAAGTTAGTAAATATTGTAGATTATTAGGTTTATATTTGGAGATACTCAACATTTTGTGAGAAAACTTTATTTAAAAATTATGGATTAGTGATATAACAATATGTTATAAAAGTGAACTAACAATATGAAAGCCATGCACAGAGGGATGCCGGGTATCTGTAAAAGTCGGGTGCTCTCAGCTGTTTCCATATTGCTTCCAACCCTTATTTCTTCTTTAGCTACCAATCAATTTTCTTCATTCATTACATTTAACCATTTTTGGTATCATTTTAAATGCGAAATGCTTAAATATTTAAAACCAAAAAAATTAAATGTTCCTTAGAGAAAGAAATTTTGAAAATTAGGTATTTAAACACTGTTAGAGAACATCAATAAGAATAAGACCTACAGTTTATTAAAAACCACTTAATTTTACACTGATACAATGAATTTAATCAAAATTATTAGAGCCATTTTCGAGAAAATTGTAAAAATGTTTAAAATCTATGATATAAAGTGACACTTTCGGTTAGCTAATTTTGGCGAAAAATTTGCTCTAATATTCTAGGCATGTACCAACCTTAAATGTGCAATTTTGTATGACTATTTTAGTTGCATACGACTTTTCGTTTTTGAGCTAGACTGTTTACACACAGACCATTTTGTGGGACTTGTTTATCTTGTCTCAATGGACCTCAAAACATGTATTTCTGTTGAAAACTCAGATTAAAAAATGTTCACGATCGCAATACTTTTCTTAAATATATATCACATATATAACTAAGTGAAAGTTAAAGTAGAATTTCCAATGAATTAAATTTTATCTTCTTGTATAGTTGCCAATTTAGTTTGTTCTCTCTACTATAAAAACTTCTAAAAAGACTAGTTCCCAAGATTATCTCTTTCCTTGAGCATAATTGCTGTTCCAATTACCTTCCTTGCTACAATTTTTTTCAGGTCTCTCAAAGTTAAACAAATCAGCATAAAATAATGATTATGTGTCTTTTAATTTTTACCCTCTATCTTTTGAAAATCAGAACTTTCATATTCTTGTACGCCTAACTTTTGACTTTAACAAATTTTTTCCTTTTTCTCAAATCAAGTATAGTCGGTGAGTATATTTATTATATTTTATTACTCAAAGCATACAGTTAGAACCAGTACAAAGATTATTATTCATTTTATTGACATCTTTATTCATCATTTATTGTTAATCTTTATACACATAATTAATTTTCTTTTATTTCAGATAATTGAAGTAAAGAATTAACTGGCATTCCCTTAAGTTGGAAGGCACTGTCTTAAATGTTAAAATAATAAAATTTTAAAACTATATCATTCTTTTGTTATTCCAAAAGTTGTTACTATATATATTTATTTATTTCTACAGTTGTTAATATATATTCATATTATATATATATTCTTAATTATTTATAAGATAAGATATATTCTTTAATTATTTAGTATAATAGTTGTGGTTTATTTATATATATATTCGTTGTAGAAGGCAGTATTATTTCTGATTCTATTCATTCATGACTATTTTTTTGTTTTAGGAGAGATTCATTAATTAGTCTGGTTGTAGTTTTTCCTTTAAATTCACAAAAAAAATATAAAATTGACAAAAGAAACCTTTAGAATTAAAGTGATTGATCATTGTCTAATTGTAGTCTCTGATTTAATAGTCCGAAGTAAGAGGTTGTAGTTCAGGATTAGTTTAGTAAAATATTTTATCGGTTATTTTTGACTTCGTGAAATTGAAGCAAAAGAGGTTTTTATTTAGTTTTTTAATGCATTAGGTAGTAGTAGTAGTTTTTTTAGGTATACAAAATTCAATGATGAATGTGTGGAGTTTGGAACTTCATTTATGTCATATTCTCCTTTGAATACTAATCTTGTAAACACCAAAGCTAGAATTGTACTATTTTGTTAACATTGAAAGAAGCTCTTGGTCTGCTACATCATTTTTTCCTATTGCCCTTTACCTGAACTTTTTATATTGATAATGTTAGTGGTAGACGGACAGGATTAGTAACAGTTGGTGCATTGATTGAGAATCATTCAATTTTATCTTAAGCCTGACTTGTATAGTTATTTTTATAACAACATTGTATATTAATAAAATTCTATTTTTCAGGAAACAAATGAGACAAATGATAATGGCCACCACTAATAAAAGTGTTGAATCCAGAATAAAATCTAATATTAACAATATTCAAAAGTCCAAATTAACAATGAATGAGAACTTTATCAAGAGATAATAATATCATTAGAGTAAGTACTGTATGATTGTATATTTGTGTTACATACACAAATACAATGTACATAATATATATTTTTTTTTTTTTCCAGTTTGCTCAACTCTCAAATACGATGTATCTTATGAAAACCTGAAAGAAGATACCCATCTTCTCAACAAATATAAGGAATGGGCCTGAATGCTTGAAGTTGGAGCTTGAAAGTTGGTGGTTACTTGATATCACCTCATGTAAATGTATTCTACAAATTTGATATTTGTTGTATCTATCATATCTATTATAGGATATTAATGTTAAGTTATGTATTCAATTGTAAATATTTTAATTCTGAAAATAAATTTATTGGTTTTACCTTATTTATATTTATTATATATTTTTTTTTTTTTTTTTTTTATATTGATCTCATGAGTATATAATGTTAAGCTTTCTTAGTATAATAGAACAAAAGTTTGTTTTTCATCAGGACAGTAATTACATAGGTAGCATTTCTTTTACATTACGAAAAAAATTTTTGGATTTTAATTAACTTGTCCATGTGACAAAATATTATACTACCCAATAAATAAGTAAAATAAAATAAAAATGAATTAACTTTGTGGTTGTGATTGCCTTTTGTACTTCTGAATAAAAATAGAAAAAGTACCACTGAAATTGAGCTCTCTACTAGGGCATATAAATCTTTCATATTAGGCAGAAGAGGCAAGACAGAATTTTTTTTTTTAAGTTATATATTATTACAATTTATTAATATGTTTATATGAAATACATTATATACATACAACATCCTATTTTAAAAATTATTTTTCTTGAATTTTCTGCAAACCTTTTTTATTATATTAGATTGTATTTTATTTGGGATTATTTAGAGAGAGCAAGAGCTCCCATTCCCCGCCCTCGCCTCCCCATACACCCCCCATGGCTCTCTCAAAATACAATTCTTGAGGTAGAATTACAACTCCTTCAGTATTAGTATGAGTGCCTGATTGCAGAAAACTTCCAGTGAAGGTATTCCTAAATCTTTTCGTGTAGCAGTTTAAAAAAAAGGTTATAAAAATCGAAATTTCCACTCGCATTTTATGTTGCAAACATTAAGAATCAAATTTGGTTCGTTCAGTGTGTGTCTATAGTCAAATTGATATGACGGTCATATCATCCACTTCCGTTTATCAGGATTGTTTCATATGTTCATTTCATATGTTTAATTTTATTAATAGCTAAATTTATCCAGTCACGCTCTACTGTGGCTCAGTCTGGCAAAATAGAAAGCACATTTGAGTGGCTTAATATCAAAGGATATCTATCGTTTTAAAAAGTTGAGAAAAAAACAATTGTCTGTAACATAGCTTCAATTTAAACAAGTTCTAATGACTTTTTTCATGCTTCAACTTGAACATTTTAAAATGAAAGCAATAGAAACAGTTTGATTTGAATCTATAAAACAAATACCTGGTTTGGTGTGCGCATCACACAACTTTCACTTACTAACTGTAGCAGAGGTGCCCAGAAGCCTTTTTAAGGAAGACAGATTTTTGAATTTTTGAGGAGGGCAAATTTCAATGGGGTTAAATGTTTGAAGATTAAAAGGGTTGAATTTTCAGAACAAGGGGCAAGGAGAAACCGTGGAACAGACCACAGCAAGTGTAATTGTTTATGCTCTTTGATTTTTCTACTTCTACTTTCCTTTGTTCTGTTTGTATGAAAAGGTGAGGAATCAAATATCTTGGGAGGGAGAAGGAGTAGATTCTTACGCCATCGATCTTGTGGGTGGGAGGGATGTGCACCTCTGAACTGTAGAGTAGATGGGTATTTTCATGTATAGGGAGGTCAAAGTGAAACAACGGTGTAACTTTATTTAAAACAATTAATTACCATGTTTTCTTCATCCATTGAATCTGTTAAAAATATTCTTTTGGATTGTTTTTCTTTTCATTTCATTTTAGGATTGTGTATAATAATAATACTTTATTTATTCTGAGACAAGTCCCTTTAGAATAATATATCAAGAAAGAAATGTGGACTAAGGAGCCTCAGAGATTCATAAATAAAAATACAGAGTAATTAAATAGTCATAGTAAAAAAAAAAAATCTGGTGCGTGCAACACAAAACTTTACTTTACCGCTCAACTTTTTAATAGAAATTATTTTCTGGCCATGTTGGGCTATTATAAAATTTTTGAATTGCATTTTTAATGGACCTAAATTTAAAAATTACAGATAACAAATCATAAGTGCCATTAAAATAACAAAAGTCCTATTTATCATATTATCCGTTGATTTTGGATTGTGTGACTATTATTTATTAAACTATTATTTTCTATCGCAGAGATTTTCATTGTCTGTCATAGACAGGTTACATGATGATTTTTCGGAATAAACGGACGTTAGATACCTAAATATTTAAATATAATATCAGATCTATAGTTATTAATCTACAGTGAATATATTTAAGATTTTAAACATATCTATGAAATATTTTTATATTTCACTTCTACTTTCACACAAGTACAATAAAGTAGTAGTGAATACTGTTGGAATATCACAAAAGAAAAACTCATCAAATCATTCACTAATTTTAATTTCTTAAAAAGTTACATGGCAATATTTCGGAATAAACGGACAATGATACCTAATTATTTAAATATAATATCAGATCTAGAATTATTAAACTACAGTAAATGTATTTAGGGTTATAAACAAATGCTTTTTACATCCATGAAATATTTTTATATTTTACTTCTTTCACACAAATACAATGAAATAGTTTTTTTAACAATGTCATTGCCTTCATTAGATGAATTTTAAATACTTTTTATTTCAATCTTAGAAAGACATTTAAAAGTTTACATATAGTAAGAAAAATTTCATTCAATTTCCTTGGAAACATGTGATTTAGATTAAATAATGTTAGTTTCCTGAAATTATTATTTATAATGTTTTCGCCACTCTCCTTTACCTTCTACAACTTTCTATATTAGATATTGTTTTTCTAAAATTCTTTGCTTTCCAACGATATATTATAGGTATACCTTCTCTGACAGGTATTTCTGGAGATTTATTTTCGACCTGGATAAGCATTTTTATTTTTTTTTCTCCTTTATTCAATTATCAAATTCTTTCAAAAGTTATATTTAGCATTTTTTCGTAACTCGGAATAACTTGACATGATTAATTTTTTTAAATAAACCATATTAAAGGTACTTTAGAAGAAGACAAATATGGACATTGGGCATTTAAGCCCTGTAAAGTGGCATCAATGGGGATAAGACCTGATTGATATTAAAGACCACTTAATTATACAATGATACACCGAGTTTAATCAAAATCGTTAGAGCCGTTTATGAGAAAATTGTAAAAATGTGTTTCAGCGTTGGTATAAAGTGGCACTTCTGGTTAGCCAATTTTAAGGAAAAAGTTGCTGTCACATCTAAGGCAAATACCTATCTTAAATATGTAAAATCAGTTTCATACGACTTTTCGTTTTTGAGCTAGACTGCTAACATACACACACAGACCATTTTTCGGGACTTGGTCATTTGGACTGAGGATATCCCAAAACGTATATTTCCGTTTAGTTATAGCACTATAACTATACCATTTAAGCGTAAGTGATTGATGTGGCAGAGGCCTGTAGGTACCTACGCTAGTAGTGCTTTTCCGTCTATTTAGTGCATTTTCTACAAAACCGCTTCAAATATTTAAAAAAGTTATCAGTGTTTTAGAAAGAGAAATATATTCTCCAGATGTTTTATTCAGGACGTTTTCCGTTATTGTAGGGTGTTTAATTACAAACGATGCTTGATTTTCGACTTGAAAATAATTTTTTGAAAAAGTTACTTTACTGGTGTTTTTTATTACCTAAGCCAATTACTTTTTAATGTAGGTTCATGTTTTATTATTCTCTGACTATCCAGCATTAATAAAAGGCCAATTATGACGAAATTGAGCCAAATGCTGATTCTCAGTGACAAAAAAACTAACTCAAGTCAAAGTCGTCAGTCTGTCATCTTTGGACGCTATTTTGGGACAGTGCATTCACCTTTTTTTTTGGAACATTGATTTTTTTTTTAATAAATAGTTACAAGGAACACAACGATATGCAATTTATAGGGATGTGATAGGATGCATGGTAAGGGGTTCTGGCCCAGAGACACAGGAAGAAACCATGGCTAGGTCAATCGAAAAAAAGAGACTTAACTGGCAAAATTTTACTAAAACCAGAGTGCTCAAAATTGAGCAAAGGTTGTTTGGTCTGATGAAAATAACTTTGAGGTAATTAAATTATAATATACTGAAATTAAAAGTTGCAGAAACTCCCTAAAAAAAGCTTGTCTGGAAAGCATACCTTCAAGATAGAAACAAGGAAGCTACAAAACTACTGAACAGCCAGGAATGAATGCAAGGCAGCCGTTAAGTCCTTCAAAGACTCTTTCAAGAAGTATATGATAGAAAGAAAATTCCCAAGAATTGGGAATATAGCATAATCCTTCCAATTCATAAAAAAGGCAGTTCAATGGACTGCAATAACTATAGACCATCAGTCTGCTCTCTGTGGTCTATAAATTATATACCTCTATATTAGAAAGGAGGCTCCTGCGGATTGTGGAGGGACAGCTGGAAGGTGAAGAGGCTGGTTTCCGTCCTGGCCAGCAGACGCAGGACCACATCTTTGTTCTTAGAACCATCGCTGAAAAGGCCTGGGACAGAAGTAAAAACCTGTACCTGGCATTTCTTGATCTAAGGACAGCCTTTGACTCAGTTCTTAGGAAAGAAATTTGGAATGCTTTAGTTGCCAAGGGCGTGCCTGGAGATTTGATTGAGGCCGTGAAATCAACCTACCAGGGAGCCACTGGAGTGGTAAGGATAAATGGCACAGAATCAGAACCTTTCCCAATTGCAAGAGGAGTCAGACAGGGAGATAGTTTAAGCCCCCTCCTGTTTATAAACTTTATGGACGAGATCCATAAAATCTGCAAGCATCGGACTGCATGGACTACGATTGGAAACTGTAATATGAGAACTGTCCTCGTACAGAGCTTTTTGTATGCGGATGACATTGTGCTCATTGCCGATTCCAAGACGAAACTACAGCTAGCACTGGTAGAATGTAAAGAAGAGCTGCTGAGGAAAGGTATGCAAATGCCTCCAAAAGTGATGATTATGGCAAGAGAAGAAGAGGAAGACGTCTAATTGATTTGCAACGGAGAGATTCTTGAGGTAGTAAAGGATTACACATACTTAGGTACCATAATTACTAACGCTGGTAAGATAGATGCTGAGATTTCGTATAGAATATCTAAGGCGAATCAAGTATATCACCAGATCGCTAGCAGTATCCTCAGCTGCTGTGAAGTGGATA